AGTCACAATGGTGATAAAGAAAAAAATGCAACGGTTATTTAGGAGTTGGCCGAATTTGCATTTTCAACGATGCTTTCGACGATATCAAGTAAATAAACACATAGTTGTCGACGAGCGGTGCAAGACCTATATTGGTGGAAAGCATGAGGCAACGGGCAGGCAAACTTGCAGCCGGTGATTAAATAATTGGTTGTTTCGAAATGCGAGTACAGAAAGATAATGTGTGATTGGCCCACCGCTACTCCTTTCTCCACCTTGGAGAAGCTAAAGTATTTTGGTGGAAGAAATAAAACCTCTGTATAACCGTCATAACGCAAGTCTATATGCAATAGCAATTGGTGGGAAAGACGAATTCGACCTTACGGAGGGCCGAGAATATGGTATATGGATAATCGTAGCGCGGAGGTTCGTCAGGTCGATGGAACTATGGACTGAATCGGCTAGGCTTCCGCAAAGCCCAAAGCCCAACCCCCGGCCTATCGTGGGCCCCCATTAGGCCCCCACGAAATCCCACGATTACATAAAAAGCTGGTCTTGGCGTTTACAAAGCCACTGAGTTATTAAAATAAATGACTGTTTTTTACAACTGTTCTAGTTTGTCCATAGAATATTGTTACATTTTCACTAGAATAAGTTGGAAATTTTATAAAAATACTCCCAATATAAGGCTAGTAGGCTTAAAAAGTCGCTTCTCTACTGTATAACCTCGTTCTAACAGACGGAATCAAACATAGGGTCATTGACTGGGATTGGATGTCTGTGGCACCGCTGCCAGCCATTATTCACCACCCTTGGTTCATAGCCGACATTCCTAGATGGAATAATGATGGTGTGGCAGAAGGCGAAAGCTTCACAGAAGACCGTCTTCACCTTGAGGATTCTATCAAGAAGAAAGAGCTTCCACAGCACCCGTCACTTATAGTGTTAACGTTGCTGAATGACTTTAGAAAGAGACTATTTTTCTAGTCAGCCTTCTACTTTAAAGACGTCTATAAGAGTTTTATTAAGACGCACTATCTACGGACAGAAAAGAATATTAGGGCTACGAGGTCACAGTTAGATACTATACTTCGTTTGTATCCTAAGTTAGGAGATATAGAGTATATATAGAAAGTTAAGAACCTACTAGGGAGAAGCGACGAAAAATAACGTTAGTAAAAGGAAGACCCTCTAACAAATTAAAACAGTTCCTACTAGGACTTAGGAATACTTCTTAGATTTAGATATAATAAAATACTATATAAATTACCTAACCCTTCGGACTAAGCTAGCTCTTCTCTTACGCCTCTAAGCTTTATTAAAAAACCGATAGCATTTTCTACGTGTCTACTAAAGATAACCGCTGCTTCCTAAGTATCGTACACTAATACAAAGTATATTCGCCCCGATCCCTTAGTGCTAAAAACCCGGAATACATTATCCGAGTAAGTACATTTCGTCCAAGACACGTAGCAGTTCCGGCGCACTTATAAGAATCGGAAATTGTAGGTTACCAAATACATTTCCCAGTTAAAGCCGCCAGCGACTCCTACTAATAAAAATACGTTATAGGATATATAAGCATAGATAGGGGACAAGTGAGGAACAAGTTAAAGTCTAGTCCTACCATTTGAGTAGGGTATAGTTTTACTTAGGGGCCGCCCATAAGGTTAATTAGCTAGCCTCTCTAACCTAGCGCAGAATATTTGAATAGCTCACCCAAATCATCAATGACGCGGTATCACGCGGATTACAGAACATAGATCGTAGGCCACTGGCTATATTTTCCTATCGCGCTCGCCGACGGTCTACAATGCGGATCCGCTATAGCCTTAAGCTCATTCATTTACTAGTTGTCTACATGATTATAAGCGAGTTTATACAGTCGCCGGCCATCCTTAACCTCATAACAAGGCAGCGTTTTCTTCTCGCCACTAACAAATACCATCTTTTAGTGACTTCAAAAACAAATCCACTAGATCAAACAGCCCAGAGACCCACAATGACAATTATGCGCTACTGCGCCCAGAAACAGGAAGCTATAGGCAGATCTGCGATACCAGGGGCTGTGCAATGCAACGTTGGATTGGCCTGGATAAAGGAAAGCATACCGAGTCGAGAGTACTGGTGGTTTAGACCCAACGTGTCCACAACATCATGTCGGTTTGACAGAGTGCGGTTCCGCACAGTGAAAGTAAGAAGACTGTGGGGGTCACACACAAGGCCGACAGTATATGCGGCATTTCTCCCATTAGATCAAAGTGTTTCATATTCGAAAAAGTCCACAGTCTACTTACTACACCTCGCCAGAAGAGGGCTATGGCGAAGCAATCATCTCTAAAGGGCTACTTAGCGTAAGGATTAGCGTCCAGTCGGGTAAGGCATCATGCGCAACTCCAGGGCCAAAAAAAATACAAAGGAAAACTCACATATAGTAAAGAGACGGCTAAAGACTCTTGGTATATAGTGACTACGGGCACTCATAAAACAAAGAAACCGGCAGAAAACAAGGAACAGGCGAAGAGGAGAATTTAAAGGTGATTCGAATTCCAGTTTTGCCATATTAGTGGAATTATAGTCTCTTTTATAGACGACGACAGAGGCCCAGAAGATGTAATCCTTCTTCTACCAAAAGTAGACAATCTCAACCAGATCCTACAATCCAACGTATTGCAGTCGAGGACGCTAGACCATACCAGTTTCATAGTCCACAACAAGTTATAGCTCACTAGCAAAAATTCCCATAGTTGCAGTCTCGCATTGACCACAAGATACAGCATCGACCAAGGTCCAGGGCGTGTGCGGCATTTTCGCTATTAGCCCGAATGACCAAGCTGTGATTTCGAGTTTTCACTAATTAGGTGGAGAGGGATCGGAGAGACCGACGATAACGACAACTAGGCGTTTGGCCAGGCAACCAGGAGCCATTTTATAAAGCCGGGGCTATACAATGCAACCTCAGGTGATGCGGCGGGAGAGGGATATGCAGCGTCGAGGGTATACTGGCACATTGCAGATTTGAAGGGAGGCCCGCGGAATCAGAGACGAAAAGGCGCACTGGCAGAGGGAGACTTAGATATCCTCGTAGCATGGTGCTCAGTCACTGCCCTAGGGAAGGAATAGGATCATCGACACGAAAGAACAGGATGCTGTATCATCCCAGTGGTTACGCTTCTGGGTGACAGGCATTGCAAGCTGGATGTCGGATCAAGCGGCATCTCCGGTAAAAATGAAAGGGGCAGTGCGTCGGGCTGAAAGCAAATGTGCAGTAGTCGGTGGGGCCCAGAGTAAAAGAAAGAGGGCGGCGATGAGTGCAAGATAGAGAGGCAGAATAATGGAAAAGTGAGAGAAAGGGAGGAGGAGCAGCGAAGACGGGTCTTTTATGTCGGAGGGCATTGAAGGTAGGTTACGTGACAGCGTATTGGGGGCGCTAAACCCAAAAAGGCAAAACTAACCGGATACAGTAATTCACAGGTCCGCCGTTTACAATATAAATTTATTGAGAGAATAGGGTTCAAAGTTGGTCAGTTTTGGTGGGGAAATGGGCAGTGGGTAAATACTTAGTAACCGCTATGTAGTTTGATCCAAAAGAACTTATTGAAGGTTAACGAATAACCCACCATCAACTAGTAGTTGCGCACCAGTCACATAACCACTCAACTCCTCACAAGCCAGGAAAACAGCCGGTCCAGCCAAATCCCGCGGTTGACCCAGTCGACCCAGTGGAATCCGACCCTCCATATAACTCCGCTTAACAGGATCCTTCATATCTTCCTCGTTAAGCTGCGTCCGGATAGTCCCCGGTAGTAGCGCATTACACCGAATGCCATACTTTCCAAGCGCGCACGCACAAGACTGCATGAGACTCAATACACCGGCCTTGGTGGGTGTGTAATGTGTCTGCTGGGCACCGCCAACCAGAGCGGAGATGGAGCTCACGCCAATAATGGAGCCGCCCGATGGTGACTGAGTTAGTGCCATTTGGCGGGCTGCAGCTTGAGTGGCATAAAATGCGCCTGAGAGATTTGTTGAAATTGTGTGGTTTAAGAGAGAGGGTTCGAGTCTAGCGGGATTGTTAGATAGGAGAAGAGGGGTGTCGTAAATTTGAGGGGGGGGGGGGGGGGATATAGCTCACTCTAGGAAGTCGGCAAACTGGCACACGCCTGCGTTGCTCACGAATACATCTAGTCGACCAAATGCCTCGACGGTCTTTGCGACGAAGTTCTGGCCTGTCTCTGGTTGTGAAATGTCGCCGGATACCGTGAGGAATCGAGTATTGGCTGCTTCGGCTTCGATCTCGTTCACATCTTTGCGTAGGGCTTCTAGCAGTGCGTCTTCCTTTGCGCCACCCAGATGGCTGATGGAGACTTTGGCTCCATGTCGGATATAATCAAGTGCAATTGCCTGTAGTATTGTTAGTGTTTTTTAGATTCATTTCTATTCGGAGATGGGATATCATACCCGTCCGATGCCTGTGAGACCGCCAGTGATGGCGGCGACTTTGCCAACTAATAACTTGGGGGAAGACATTGTGGTTGTGAAGTGTCGCAATGCCCGCAATTCTCACCTAGGCAAGGTGGGATGAATTTCTCCAGCTCGGTATTTCGCGGTGATGTTACCCCGAGAATGTGGGGAACCCCTGGAGTAACTCCGGGGCGCCCATAACGGAGGTGTTACGGGTAATGTGAGTTGAGCCAAGTTTCACGTGAATTTATTCAGATTCTCAGAATTATAAAGGCATTGTCAGATATCTGTAGTATAAGGAAATTGTGCAACTAAAGGCAAAGCGCAAAATTGGCGAACTATACTGAATTTCCAACATGGATGGAGTATCTCTCCATGATATTCCTGAGTCCAACCCACTAGTCAATACATACTCACTTATGACCGCTAGATAACAATGACACTTCGTTCTACACTGAATCTTCATCTATTTCTTCATATCTAAGTTGATTCATTGCTTCCTCTCGTAGGACTATCATGACTCGCCGGTGCCTTCCCTTTGCCGCCTATTTGGAGAATCAGTAACTCGTGTTCGTGAGGGTGTCTGATCGTGCCTCACTACTCTGGTATAACATCGCAGCTAGAAGAACAGCAATAACTGACGCCTATCAAAAATTAGAAACATCATCCTATGCACCCTCTGGGTAGAAGCTAATCTTACCAGCGATAGGTCCATCCCTTCTGCCACCACCACTTCCCATGATGGTCGTTTTCCGGGTAGGTAGACCGCAGCCATGTCGGTCAATTTTACCACCATAACCAATTTTCCACGGTGATAAACATGTGTCTTGGACTTCCAGACATTCTGTCCACGAACCTCCAGTATCGTCTCTTCTCCATTTGCAGCAACATTCCGAAGGTGCACGTCAAATTTGTCTTTGAGGGCGCTCCATTTTGGTACAACTGTCGCAATAGGCTCGGGAGCATTTCCTTTACTGCTGCTCTCGCCGGGGAGATGGAGATACCATGTTACCCCGACCTTTTTCCGAGATATCTCGAAAAGGGGAAGGCCTGAGGCGTCGCGGAAATGTCGTCGCTGAGACAATGAGATAGCATCACCGTCAACACTGAAGAGAGTTTTTAGAAGAGGTTCTTCGGCAGTTTGAGTGGTTGAAATTGTGAATTTGCCGCTGGACCAACTCGCGCTATGTTGCTTTACCTGGATTGTTGTCGTCGACGAAGCAATATGTTCTGGACGGATGGCGATAGGTTGTTTCGTGGGTGTGAGTGATTCCATCTTGTCACCATATAGTAAAACAAATGGGGTTGAGAAGATTATAGGAAAAGACAAGGAAGCATGAGATAATGAGGTTGATCTTAGAAATACAAAGTTTGGTGGCGCCGGAACCTTGAAAGGGTTCTGCTCTAAATTGAACGACCAAGTTACAGAGATGACGCATGGTCAAGGTACAAGGCAGACTAAGAGTTTGGGGGCCTCTTCCCTTTTAAGTAAGGATATGTCTTTGGCCCCCATGTATTTGGTCGCCGCACGAGGATCAGCCTGCGTTTAGTTCTTTGACTGGTAATCTTTTCTATAATGTATACCCCGTAGGTAGTACGGAGTAGTATATACATATTAGGGGATAGTGCACATTGTGGCTTGTTTGGGGGCGTATATAGTACCCCTAGGTTGCCCTAAGATTGCCCATTTGTCTTGGAAACCCCACTCATCAAAGGGTATACTTAGAATGCCTTTTACTGTCGACCTATGAAAATAACAAGACACCGAAAGGGAATATCAGAGAAGGTTACTAAAAATGTGGGAATTGACAAGGTGGCAGATGTTGATTCTGTCCTCCGTGCAATTCTGCCTTGGCGCCTCAGTAATTCGGATATCTTGCGGTTGCAGTCAGAGGAGGTCATTCTATCTTTCAGGGGAAAATGTGAGGAGCACTTGCTCAAGATCCTTAACTGCCTGGGTTTCTAGATTACTCTCATATTTCCATTTCAGTAATCTAGGTATCTAGCCAATATTGTGTTGCTGGGATTTGCCTGCAGATACTGATCTGGCCCTGTTCCTCGAATGCTGCGCATTATCATCAATACAATAAATAGTACTTCAATGCAAACCTCTATTGTAACGGCAGTCACCGACAACTAATATCATATGGCATGCCTTCAGACTCATATCTCTCTAGTCGCCGATTGTTGCCCGAGGCTTTGTGCGGCGTTGATTCCGAACTCCTATATAATAGTTAGTGATCAGCATGTAATTTTCCACTTTGTAGCTCTTGAAGTGTCGGGCCTTGCAACCAAGTAATAGATGAAACATCGGGCGAAGTTGATCGCAGGGAAAAAAGGTGAGAACCAGCCGTCATTTCTCATTAAAACCTGTGAACAACGATACTCTCTTCAAGAAAATTGCTTCTGAAGAAGCTATAGCATAATCTATGTGCTAGTTGGTCGGTCGATAAGGAGCGTTATCAATCTGATGAAAAAGAAAAAGATAATCGTCAGCTGCAGGGTTCGAACCTACGCGGGCGAACCCATTAGATTATGAGACATTGAGGACGTAGTCCAGGTAGTTCAAGTCTAACGCCTTAACCACTCGGCCAAACTGACGAAACAGAATACCTGTTGGACTGCGGATTCGGTACATAAACAAAGAATTTTTTGGGAAGGTCCATTGCGAAATATCTACCCATGGACATGTCCTGGGGAAACGATTACCAAAATACATATTGCAGGGATAGAATAACTCTGATTGTCACTGAATAAAATTTTCGCAAGTTTACTGCGATGTTTATGTTACGTCTTTTGATACCGGTATACACAGAGTGGAGGATATCTATTATGTGTGGCCAAAGAATAGGAGATTGGAATGGTATCAGAAGGGGGCATGAGATGGAATTTAAAGGATCCTAAAATCCAATGCATATGTACATGACTCTCGTATAAACCGTAAATAACTAATAAACATGAAATAAATCGAAGATGAAGTAGGAAGAGTGTCCAACACATTTAAGCAGAGCCATTGGCCGTCTCCTCGTTATCTGGTGCCCGTAGGGACTTCTGGGGTGCGGGAGTAAGGAGAGCAGAAGCAGGGATCAAGGGAGCAGCGGGGTTGAGTTCCAGACCGAACCCGGGCTTGTCCAAGATAGAGACATCAAGGTAGCCGTTGGTAGGAATAGGCTCGTTCAAGAAAAGGTTACCAAACACGGGCTGGACGGTGTGGCCATCGGCAGAGTTGGCAAGGTACTCCTGGAAGGGGCTGTTGGATTGGGAGACGACAAAGTGGTATGAGTAGGGACCGGAGGCGTGGGGTACAACGGGAAGATCATAAGCAGCAGCCATGGCAGAGACCTTGAGCAGCTCGGTCATTCCACCAACCCACATCACATCAGGCTGGAGAATATCGACATTGCGGCCCTCGATAAGCTTTCGGAAGCCGTAGCGGGAGTACTCGTGCTCGCCGGTGGTGAAAGTGACGGTGGGGTGGGCACGCTTGAGGAGCGCTTGGCCATCAAAGTCATCGGGCGAGAGGCACTCCTCCCACCAGTCAATGTCGAGCCCAGCAGCCTCGCAGCGCTTGACTAGCTGGATTGTGTAGTTGACAGTCAAGGACATGTAGCAGTCCACGCGTAGTGGGAAGTTAGCGCCGACCTTCTCGCGCTGTTGGCGCAGGTATTCAACGTTCTTCAGAAGGCCCTCGGTACCCTCATCAGGACCATGAGGCAAGGCCACCTTGGCACCGATAAAGCCGGCGGCCTTTGCGGAGCCAGGCTCGGGGCCGGTACAGTAGAAGTTCAACCTGGTCCGAGTCGCACCTCCAATCATCTTGTATACGGGCTCGTTGCGGATCTTGCCCTGCAGATCCCACAGAGCCAGATCAATAACTGAGATCACGGCGACTGGCAAACCCTTGCGGCCGTAGAACATTGAGGCGCGGTACATCTTCTCAAAAAGGTCGTTGGTGTCGCGGGGGTCTGTTAAAATATAGTTCGTCAGTTAGATCCATTGTTGTATATGAGATCGTGTACATACCAGCGCCAATCAGGAAGCGGTTGAAATGTTGCTCGGTCAGCCAGCATGCTGGGGGACCTCCAAAACCAGTTGCAAAGCCCTTGGTGCCATCAGTAGCCTCAATCTCCACACAAAATGATCCTAAAACATTGATGCCCCATGATGTTCGCGAGCCACGGAATTGTGCCCACTTGGTCATAGGGGTGGAAATGTTGCTATCGATCAACCAGTGGCCTCCTTTAACCTGTGTGAATAGTTAGTAATACGATATCGAGACAATTGGATTCCAGAACTCTTACATTGTGGTAGTCGCCGCCGGAGCCAACACCGTCAATGATGAAGGTGCGGACTGCCTTGATGCGGGGGAATTCTGTTATTGAGCCCATAATGTATGAAATGAGGTATCAGTAAGAAATGACTTAATAATTGTCCAAAGGAGGATATAGAGAAAAAAAAGTAGGAATCCAACAATTGCGGGGGACTCATGTCTATTTCAATTCCACATGCCGAGGAGCTCGGGGCATTGCTATCCCGAGAGACGGAGAAACGGCGACTCGGAGAATTTGCGACATATGTTCATCTCAGGCTATATTTGGACCGGATAAAATGCTGGAATTCCATAATATATGGGGTTATTCGTTATTCTCGAATTTCAACGCCTTGGTCGGGGAATCTTATGGACTATTTAGGAAATTCTCACCTTAGGAGTATTCTCAATATTTATATCCGAGAAGAACAGAACACTGAAAAGAACACTGGAGAGACACTGAACACCACAAGGCCGCATATACGGCCGACTATATATTCCATAGTTGGCAACTTAGTTTCTTTAACAACTCAGCAATCTTAGCTTCATTACAATATCTAAGATCTAAGCTTTCTCCAAGAGTGATCTGCATACTGAACATCAGTCTTTCCACCTTAAACACACATCGTGCCACGTATAAAATCGCGTGAAGTACTCAGAAGTCCTCTCCCCAATCTTCTACTAGGACCTCACACCATCACATCCTCCGCACTTCACCTCATACATTACATCGGACCCATTGCTCACGAGATGCACGACAATGACGGAGAGAAGCCGGAAGGTTAGAGGCGTATGCGGCATGCAACGCACCGCCGTCGAGCGAGGGATTTATTATTGCTCTTACTTCATCATTGCTTATTTTTTACTTTTTCATGTATTCATCCCAAACGTGGCTATTGTATCCCGGCACAGCCCCATTCGCCTACTGGCTGTGGGGAAGCCCAAAGGTCCCTGAGTCGAAGTCCACGCGATACCTGACAACCAAGGCGACGAGGACAACTTGTGCCACAATTGGCAAATTGGCCGAATATATGATTGATCTCAAGCCTCTATGCGGATTTTATCGAAGGGTATATATACTTGGAAAAGTCCACTTCATAAAAACTTTTCCCGCCGTTTTTGCCGTCGACCTACAAAACCGATAAGACAGAATGATATCTGAGAGGATTAATAAAGAGACCACTGAAAAGACCTCTGAAAAGACCACTTAAAGACAACACAGAGCTAGTGGATTCCCAAAGTGGAAAATGCGGGGTGCCCCGGTTTCTGCCTGAGGCCTTAGCTCCAATGATTCCCTTTCTGTTTCTTCTTTCTCTTTTCCTCGGATTCAATAACTACAGTGAAGAACCCTAGGCGCCCTATATTCTAAAAACAATATACTAGGTCTGCCCATTCAAGAATTTACCCCTGAATCGGCCTTGCATAATGCTCGGTCCCTGATAGGGCGAATTGCTATCTCGCTAAATCAAAATGCCGAACACTGCGCTTCCGCCCCAGGAGACCCCGTCCTCCAATCAGCAATTCGGGGACCCAAGTCGAGACCAGAGTGCAGAGTATTCCTCGGATTCCGATAACGATGCTGGACTCAATGGCTCCACAAGAGCGTTGAAGCGAAAACGGCCCCTGACTGTCTCGTGCGTACCTCAACCTCGGCTAGCCGTTGTATGAAACGTCACCCCCGACTAACCATACCAAGATGTGAACTGTGCAAGCATCGAAAAGTTAAATGCGGTATGGCGTTAAATGGTCCTAGGCAAATGTTCCTTTTCTGACACCAACCAGACCGAGTACAGCCAAGCTGCGGCTGGTGCAGCCGAAATGGCCAGCTATGTGAATATAGGGAACGAAAAAAGCCAGGGCTGAGAGCTGGCTATGGAAAGGAGCTGGAACAGCGACTTGGTAAGTTGCTATACAGGCTTCTCGTCTATTTCATGTCTCACTCGTGTCTTAGATCGATTGGAGGATATTATCCAATCGCAAGCTCGGCTCATCGAGATGCATATCCTACAAAGCCAGACCTCAGTAGGCCATGAGTTACCCCACACGGGCCCTCTTTCATATAGCTCTCCGTCCGAGCCGTCAGCAGTCCACGGACCGAGTCCGGGTACGGCCCTCTACTTCAACGATCCCGGGTCTACTGTTACTCTACCCTCACGCCATGCGGATGTGTCTACCAACAGTCCATCGGATGGGTCTGTGAAGAATGCCTCACATAATCATGTGCAACACGACATGTCAATGGCGCCAGTTGGCCGGTTGTTACCGACACAAAACGCACATCACGATTACGGAGGAAACGAATCGTCTTTGAAGGTCCCCGTCAACATATACTCAAACCAAGAGCAATCTCTTACTGATCCTGATCTGGATCTGCCACCGTACGATTTACTCTATGCTTTGGTAGATCTCTATTTCGAACATATCAACTCCTGGTGCCCGATCCTCCATCGGCGAACAACGCTAGATACCTTTTTTGGCCCGTCACCACTAGACGAGGCAGACCGAATGGTCTTGTATGCAATTGTGGCAACAACACTGCGATTTTCGTCTGACAACAGGCTTAATGACCAGAACAGAAAGCGTTATCATGACTCATCCAAACAAAAGGTCGTCTTGTATGGCCTGGAAAACTCTTCAGTCAAGGCACTTCAGGCACTCGTGATTCTAGCTCTTGATTTGGTTGGATCATCCAATGGTCCACCGGGTTGGAAGCTACTTGCCCTGATTACCCGGTCTGTAGTTCAGCTAGGGTTGGCTGTGGAATCGAAATCTTCTCTTATCAACCCTACCTATCCCTCAATTTATACTCTGAGAGCTGTCACTCTTGCTGAGCCAGGCTCTTGGATTGAAGATGAGAGTAGACGGCGTTTGTTCTGGATGGTATACTTGCTGGACCGATATTCCACCCTGGCGACTGCGTTCAATTTCGCCTTGGATGACAGAGATATCGACCGCAAACTCCCTTGCAAGGATGATTATTTTATGAAGAATCAGCCCGTTGAGACGCGGTGGTTCCAATGCTCTAGCGACCGTGCGGATTATCTCAGTAAAGCTGAAAACGTTGGGTCTTTCGGTCTCTATGTTGAAATCTTGGGTATCCTCTCGCGGATTCACCTGTTCTTGAAACGGCCTGTGGATATCGGAGCTCTCTCCGATGTTGAGGAATGGCAAGCTACCTACCGCAAACTTGACAGCGAGCTAACATCATGGGAGTTCAATCTCCCAGCGGAATATGCATACGAAAACTCGTCCCGACTTTTTAGTGGATCCAAGCATGGCCGAGCTCCGCACAGCGATTGGGTGCAATTGCATGCAACCTACCAAACGTGAGTGCGTCATATCTTGATCGTTCTATTCGAAGTAATTAACGGGACAACCACTCTAGAGCTGTGATTCGTCTACACTCCTCGGCAGCATACCCGACAACCCGGTCTCCAATCTTCACACCCTCATACAGTGCTAGCCAACGATGCCTACTCGCCGTCGAAAACATTCTATCGGTAACAAGGTTTGTTGTAGAGCACAACATGCTAGACAAGATGGGCCCGCCCTTCGCCTTTACTCTTTGGGTTTCAGCGCGCCTACTCCTCGTCCACGGCTCAACTATTGCACATACCGTCAGCCCCGATATCATCTTTTTTGTGGATACTCTATTTCAGCTAGGAAAATACTGGAAGGTTGCTGAGCGGTACAGCAGTATCCTTCAACGCGTGCTGGACGAGTACAATGAGTATCAGCAATCGACTGCCATAGACGGCGAACGCTCCACGCCATCAACAGTCAAGATTCTTGCCGATATGCGTCGCTGTGCATTTGACTTAGACTTTTTGATCTCGCGTCAACCACGTGGATCACCCGCTGACAATGGGATTGGCGAGAGCCATCAGCCCCGGCCTCCTCTAGCGTCAATTCCCGCCCGCAACTTCGCCCCCAACGAATTGGAGTACCTCGATGTTTTTGGTTTCTTCAACGTTCCCCGTGTTCCTCCTACTCGGGCTCCTGACTTGACTACTACCCATTTGGAGATCCCAGAGTCTGTGACAAATCCGATGTCGATTCATGGATTGACGGATGCTGGCCCCGCTCCTCCAACGGGGCCAGTAGACGATGGTGTGCATTCCTCCAATGCGAACGAATTTAATATCACCAACTACTTGATTCCGACCCCGGAGACGGATTGGCTGTTCCGGCCATCCTAGAGGGAAACCTTAGGTTTCACTTATGTCTCTCTCCACCGTTCCATGCTTGAAGGCCCATCAAAATTCACCTTTGGCGAACACTGAAGTCATGAAAAGACTCAGTGTGTGGGGAACTTATACCCTTCGCACGGTATCGGTTCGGGTGAATGACCCTAGCATGCAGATCATTCTATAAGCTCGACAAAAAGACTTGTCACCCTCTTGGATTTGCGCTCAATATTGAGTTCACTGAATTGTTTTCTCTCTCCGGGTGTTTGAGACAGCTCTGGTTCTCACAGAGTAGGAACATGGTATTAGTGGATAGGAGAGAATCCTAAGATGAATATCCCTGCCGCGTTCTACCATGGTGATTTAGAAAACCCATCATGGGGATTTTCTACTACACGACCCTCGGGTGAATCTGCGGCCTTATCCCCACGCCTTCCTGCATCGGTAAGATACATTTTATCTGACGTATTGGGCTTATACTAATCTGGATAAAGGTCTGCTGGTTAGTTAGTGTATCTCAACTCAAACCAGTTGTCGATCCACGTCCTTTCACCGGCTTTACCTTCTCCGTCAAGTCCATATGGGTTATCCCACCTATAGTTTGAGTAAAGCACCAAACGCCCATGTGAAGCCAAGGAGAAATTATATATCTCTCCCCCTCTCTCTCTGGCTTTCTCGCAGAAGCATGGCTATGGGAGCGATAGGCCAAAAAGAGGAGAACACAAGCCATGGACGCTCATCATCTAGAAAGTGTTTGATAAGAAAGCTACCGGGCTGAGACCGATATGCTTCCTAACAAGTCCCAGGAGGAATTCCATCTTGATATAGATCGCTCATGGATGATCATATTTGAACTTTTTAATGGAATACATTGTTTCTCATGTAAACTGACGAGGATACTATTGTGACCTACGGCCAATGCATCAAGAAACACAGTTAAGATAATATCTAGCCAGAGATGGGCATCAAAGACTGCCATGCCATATCCAATGCATTACATGATCTGCGGTCTGGTAAGCCCCCACAAATGATCCAACCACTTTATTTGTTGATCCAAGAGGTCGCAGTTAGAACTAGAGCAATACATTCATCTAGTCCGCCAATAGCAGCACCCCTTGTATGCGGAGTTGATGTGGATAGAACTATGTACGTTGGTCCCAAGACGAACCACCTAGAACCTACACCTTGTAAGAGCAAGTTTGATGTTACTCTTAATTACTACTATGTACCTGGGCTATACTAGGAAGGGGAAGAGCCTTAACTTTCATACAATAATCCCCATCCACGTGGCCACACCCCCCACTTAAAGTGGCCCACTTGACACAACCTTACTCGAAAGAGACTTTGGTGCAACCTTGGAACACACTACGGTGTCCACGGGTACATCCATAAGTTTATCCCAAAGTCATATCCTTTTCAAATGATGCAAGTGCCCGCAGCCCAGTTACAGTAGCAGCTTGATGTACCAACCAGTACATCTGCAAAGTATGACCTTTGACTATCTCTTGTATTTTTCTTTGTGGCTTGCTTTTTCACATTGCTCTAAGTCAATTATCAGATAGTATTCTAGTTAGACTCACGGATCTCAAAAAGCCCAGAGGAGTTAGATAAGCTTGTGAACCCGAGCAGAAATGTACAGACTACAATTCCCGGGACGAAGGTAAAGCAATGGAAACGTTTCCAATGAAGAGGGTTGCAAACAAAATGAAGCCGAGATATTTCGAGGTTTCTGTCGTCTGTGACAAACAAGAAGGCTATCATGACATAGGAACTGTCTACAAGTAGAGCCATAGACGACGATGTGCTCGGTAATGAATACATTGACGAATGGGACTTGAAAGTGGAAACATCACAGCTTTTTTTGAGACAAAAAAAAAGAAGACATCTTGAATCTTGTTACCTCCTTATAGTCGAAGGATAGGCATTCTATTAGTTTTTACTACGGCATCAATTATCTGAAGAAAAAACAAGGGATAAAGGACCTAGTGATGAGCATTAGCCGGCTGTTGAAGTAGAAAAAGAAGAGAAGAGTACTAGCTAAATCAATCAGTACCAGCCCAGCATATGATCTTCTCGCATGCGCCCTAATTAGTATGCCCGTTTGATGAGAGCTAAGCAAGATTACAATAATAATTCATGTAGTCATACAAATGAGAGCAAGAAGTGAGAGCAAATATGAGAGTTCAATTTGGAGCGTTAACTCCTACACATAACATACACATGGAGGAAAGGGAGACCAAGGCCTCAAGAGACAAAAGACAGCAAGAAGTCAAGCGATGCAAAGTACAGGGCCTAGAAACTCCATCGAGAACACTCATTTCTACTCAAAACAAAGCTCCAACACGTCCATTACGTGTCGGTAGTGGGCTGCAGTCGGACGAGGACCTCCTCGAGGAACGCGTCGAGAACAGCATCAACACCACCGCCCATATCAACAGGTCTCTCCATATCCCAGTGGTGGAGGCTGTTGAAAGCTCGAGCGATGTCTTCAGCAACCTTCTCCAGACCATGGTGGATGCGCACGCTGCGATCGAATTCCTTCTCCTGTTCTGGGGTAGCTGGGGGGTCATTAGGGTTGCGTCCTGGTTCGAGTCGGATGAGGTGGTTGCGGCGGCGGTCCATGGCTGCACGGAGGGCTGGGAGAATCACAGACCCGCAGGCGGTTGCACGCTCAGCCTCAGGGAGAGGTCGGCTGGCACGCTTTTGGTCGCTGGAAGTGGGGGTCGGAGGGGTTGAGCGGTGGGGAAAAGCACGATCATCCATATTTGCTGGTGCACGCTTAGACTTGAGTCCGGAAACTGGCTTCGTGTGTTGCAGTGGCTCTGTGTGTCTTGGAAGAGCGACTTGAGGGATGCGCGGGGACTGCGGTTGCTGTCCTAGAGGAAAAGCAGCTTGAGGGATGCGTGGAGACTGTGGCTTTTTTCTCGAATAATCAGCAATGGCGCGAGAAAGTGGTGATGGCTTGTGCACATTTTGACCAGATGGGGTGCGGTATTGGCCTTGAAGGGGAACGCTGGAGAGTTGTTTAAAAGGAGTACCCTGGTTACTGACCGCGGAGCTAGGTTTGGCTGGAGAACCAGTATCAATTTTGCCAGGGTAGTGAGTAGCTGCCTGTGCGTATTGTTCGTTCAATCCCCTTGTGGGAGGGTTGTCTACTGCGGGTCTGCTAGCCACTGGAGATGCGACTTTGCGTGAAGGAAGTGCAATCTCGGAGGGGCGCTGTTTAAGAGGGGAAGATGGTGCAGAGGGAGGAAGAGGGGTTTTGGTGGGAGAAACGTTAAAAGCAGGGTTTGCTGGGGTCACCTGAGCGTGTGACTGGGTTTGAGGTGTTGCGGCTTGTCGGGGTGCCGTATCACACAGATCCCATTCCTCTGTCTCATTTGTTCGTGCATCAGTTTCGGATGCTTTTACCATAGGGCGCAACGGAGGGGCGTGTGCTTGTCCCACAGGACGAACGGTACCGAAGTCCCAGAGGTCTTCCTTTTCCTGAGTTCTGTCTTTTGCTGTTTGATCAGCTTCTCTGTCATCATACCCGTCATATTCGTCGTCGTCATCTTGACCCCGATGAGTTATTTGCCAACGTTCTGCGCGCTCAATGAGTTCTGTCAGGTAGGTTGTTCTTTTCGCACGCTTCACAAATGGATGCTCCAGAAGCTCCTTGGCTGATGGCCGCTCCTTAGGGTCTCGACGCAAGCACAGTTCAACGAACTGCTTGAAAGGCTTACTAAAATCGCCTACCAATGTCGGGGGAGGGTTTTTGGGGATTAAGAACAACACTTTCATCGGGTGAATGTCGGCATAAGGAGGATCACCGCAGGCAAGTTCAATTGCCGTGATACCCAAGGACCAAATATCGGCCTTGTAATCGTATCCAGATTGCTTGATAACTTCGGGGGCCATCCAGAACGGAGTTCCTACAAAGGTATTCTTCTTGGTCATTGTTGCCGATAATTGTCCAGACACGCCAAAATCCGCCAATTTGACTTGACCACTCGCGCTGAGGAGAACGTTGGCAGCTGCAATCAAAGATGTTAGTTAGTCACTGCACATCGCCATTTCAACCAGGTGAGATATTCGTACCTTTGATGTCTCGGTGCAGCTTTTGGTCACTATGGAGATAGTCCAGCCCGCGCAGAAGCTCCCTCAGAATTATGGCAATGTACTCCTCGTGGATCACACCAGGTCGCAAGAGACCGTGGCAGCTACCACCGGCACAGAACTCCATGATAATCCACAGGTTGGACCCCTTCAAGTATGAGCCATGGTACTTTGTGACATAGGGCGACTTCAGCTCAGACAAGATGGCAATCTCCTTGATTATATCGTCGACATCGTCCTCTGCATTCTCGACATCTATGATTTTGATTGCCACTGATTCTCCAGTGCGTTTATCCAGACTAATCATCCGATTTGGGTCAGCTTTTGTTGAAAGACGTTCATATGGAAGGTCTAACTTACCCTTTGAACACTTTACCGAAGCTTCCACCGCCTAAAAAACAACACACCAGTTAGCGATATATGAAATCTGTGGCCCCTTAAGGCCCAAGGATGGAAAGACCTACCGATGCAAGTCTGCTTGGTGTAAATGGTTTCCGGATCGATGGGAGGCGGCATTATGGCGATTTATCCAAGTCGCCGGAAGACGACGATGGACATAAATCAAACTTTAATCTCTCGAGGCTATTAATGGATTGTCAGATTCACGACTAGTAGTCGCCTATCAGGAGGACGGAGTGTGGGGTTGGGCCGTACGTGACGGTGCTCGAAGGTGGACTCGGTGGGATGGAATAGCGTCGCAGTCTGATCAATCTGATGTAATTGATAAGATCTGTGGAATGTATTTTAAGATTGCAAGATCTCAGGAGTACAAAAGAGAGAGGGAAGAGAAGAGATGGTGTTGAATCGTTTGGGTGCTAACAATTGATAAGATGTCAACTGGTAAACAAAGACAATTGTTCAATCGGAGCAGGAGCGGCGAAGGTATGTGTGAGTTTCTGAATGGTTTGTAGCATGCTCTTCACGTTACGACTCATCTCAATCTCCGGACTTCTCAGGGATATCCATGTCGTCTGCCCTTGCTTGTTTATCGACGCGGGGGGCTTATTTTGCCGCTGCTTATCTGGGGGCGGTGTATCTATGGCTGTCCGAGTCCAATTACAATTGTACAATTATCTGAGACTCGAGTTTCAGACTTGAAAGGTCTGAATTATCTTTTTGATTTGATATTGGGTTGTAAATTTGATGTTTCTTTTCTCCCTGGTATCCCACCGTTCAACTTCCTTAATAGGAATTCGAATGGGAACATATTAGGACTTCAGCATCTAGTATAAATCGTTTCCTTATTGGGAATGTCAAACCAATTGGTCCTACGTTAATATTTCAGCCTTTCGCATTCTCCCATGTAGAAACAAGCTCTACATATAGACGCTACTCAGTTTCCCTCTATGATCAAGTATACCTTGTGTTTTCTATTTCGTAAGTACCGTCATGATTATCATGATTCATTGCACGCTTTCTATGCAAGCTTTGGTACTATGTATACCCTCACATCTAGGTCTCAGGTTGGCAATGACAACTGTAGAGACTAGCTGATGAACGATATCCCCTCAAATGACGAAACCCAGCTTGGGAATAAAGGTGAGATCCCACGGGATCCAATTCATTTCCATCAACGCCGTACAAAAACCCAGAAAACGTTGCAGCGTGATGATAAGATTGAAAGATCAAGGAAGCAAGAGGATTACTCTTCTAGATATCCAATCATAACCGTGCCATTCTTCAGCCCAGCGTCGGCAATGCTCGTCGTAAGTTGATCAATGAGATTGCGCCCCATGCTATTCAGGTCAAACTCGACCCCAGCCTTGTCTTCCAAGGGAGGATCGGCCTTGAGCCATTCATAAATTCTCTGGACGGGATCCGACAACGAAAAGCGCCGAATGACTCTGCCAGATGGGTGTCGGAACTGGATGCGTGTAGTTGTGGCCGGGTCCGCAGCAGGTTCTGTGTGTGGTTGATTGCTGGGGATGGATGCGAATGGGGAGGCTGCGGCTGGCTCCGGTTCATCCATGACGACATCTTCCTCGCCGGTAGCCCTGCCCTTGCCCTTAACGTTATCCGTACTGCGCGTCAAATCATCCGGGTCTTCGAGCGTCGGACCAGTTTCTGCTGCGCCTCCGAGACTGTTTCTCATTGCCATCTCCATCATCTCCTCCTCGGTCATGGCATGAACGCTCTTGTCTTTCTTGTCGGATTTGCGCTTGGCGACAGGGTTGCGCACATTGCGGTTCAAGCTGTAGCGATCGAGGAATTCATGAAGTTGCATGAGGAAGTCGGCGGGCTTGACCAAAGGGGGTCCAGACCAGATTTTCATTTGTTCACCAGTTCGAGGGTCAATAATTGCAATGTGAGGGTAATTGTCGGAGACGTCGCTTCCCTGGAAGTAGTATTGGAGGTAGGAAGACGCACGGGGGTCATCCTTCGAGTACTGCAGGAAGATAAAATGTTCCTTGACGGTATCTTGCACCCCACGGTCTTTCCATAAATCACGGTTTAGAACCTGGCAGTCAAAGATTGATGCATCTTGGACATTGACAAGCAGCCATTTCTCAGTGTCCTTCCCCTCGTCGCGCGCCACATCCCAAGGTAGTCGTGACATGATCTCGAAGGGAGGGCGGTACATTTCGGCGAGCATATTGGATTTAGATGATGCATCCGATGCGCCCCCAGTAATGGCAGAGAGTTGCTCGCGGCGAGCTTCATCACCGCCAGTCCATATCGAAGATGGCTCTCGCTGGTTGAAGATTCCGGCTCGACCTGGAGCAAAGTGTCAGTTCAAGTTATTAGAAATTTTAGGAATAGAAATAGCACCCACCTCTTCTTTCACGAGCTCGTAGTTGGCTGAGAATATTGGCGTGCATGTCTTCACCACTGTCATAGTCCGCCCCGGGCCCCACCAAAGTCTCCGTTGTCCGCGCCAGCGGCGCTCTCACTTCATCTTCATTATCTGGGCCGCCTGGGCCGCCTGGGCCACCGTACATTTCCTCCTGAAGGCGTCGAGCCATAGCCTCGTCGTCATCAAATGTTGGCGGGGCGCGATGTTGGGGGGTATCGTCATCAGTGTCCGAGTCAATATTCACCACGTCGGAATCGGCTGGAATCCCAGACGGACGAGAAGTATGAGAAGGTTCTCCAGTCAAGGGTGCACCTCCGCTTTCAAAGTAAAGCTGCATGGCCTGTTCGATTTGGAAGTCTGTGATCTGCAGGTACTGTATAGCCAGCTCCGGTGTGGAGCCGGTAATTTCAGTGAACTGAGCTACCACGTCGTTGTCCATGGTGGGCAGTGTGTCGGATGAGCTTCCTTGAGAAAGACCTTAATGTTAGAGATGAAAGTTAGAAAGATTGACTTTGGATACCCACTGAAAGCTTAGGTGTAGTATGAAATGGGGCAAAGACTCGGAGGTTGTGTTATGTGGGGAGCGAGATTTGGTGCAAACCACTGCAAACCAGAAGATCACCAGGTCCCACAAAAGAGGTTGACAGGAATTTTTAAAAAAGTAGAGAAAGGGAAAAGAAATGTCTAGCTTCACGTAGGCTGAAAGAATTCCGTCATCTCGAATTCGAAACGCACATGAGACGATCGACACCTAAGGTGGTCCCCGGCCAGTGACGCGGCTGACTAAGCCTTGAGGAATTTCAAGGTTCCAAGGTTGCACATATGGTTTACATACGCGACCGTAGTCCTACACGCGCGACGCGTCCAGCGCGTTGGCAAGCCCCCGGTGGAGCTTTCCAATTACACTTCCTAACTGGGCTCTGGGCCTTCTTTCCTAACATTCCTCTTAACTTCAACGGAAACTGCGATTGTTGTTCTTACCTTGGATTTTTAATTTCCCAAGCCATGGCAGGAACAGTCTTAGGAAAGCGCACTCGCGGTGCTGTGGAACCAGGTAAGATCATCCATCCCGCCTTCCTCCCTTATCTTCAAGTTCTGACGTTTCTAGCATTGCCGGTGCGAACCGCAAGCAAGCGCCGAACAGTCGCTCCCCGAGTTCACGAACAAGATACCGTTCCAACCTCGCTACGGCGGACAAGGTCAACTGTAAAGAAAGCAGTTGAGCCTGACCAAGAAAATGGCGAGAGCAAGACAGGGCCGGAGAGTGTTTCTTCTAAACATACCCTGCGCGATGATCAGTTCAAATCCCCGGTCAAGATCAACTCGCATTTCACCGTCTTGAAACCAGTGGAGGGTAAGTTGGAAAATTTGAGTGTTGCGCCTGAGGCAGCGCTAATTGAATGTGCAGAAGAAATTACAAAACCAATCGAGTTCGAATTCAAGACACCTTCGAAATCGCGCTTCCGAGATGATCTCCCGCAGTCTCCCATCACCCCTAGACATCGAGTGCAGGTCGGAGCAAAGGCAGTAACACCGCGTACCCCTCGCCATGCCGACCTTCCTCCGACCCCCAGACAGAGTGCCACTCCGAAAATTGTGAACTCGGTGTATTCGCAAGCCAGGCAATTGTTCGCCCGAGGTTCTAACTCTGGCCGCTTAGTGGGACGCGATGCGGAGCGGGAAAAGTTGGTGTCATTTATCACAGAGGGAGTGGAGTCTAGGAAAGGAGGATGCCTCTATATCAGCGGTCCCCCGGGAACTGGAAAGAGTGCCATGGTCCAGGAAGTGTGTGCAGATCTCGACCTTTCCAAAGTCCGAGTCTCGCATGTGAACTGCGCAAGCATGCGGATCTCTCGTGATGTTTACAGCAGACTCGTTCAGGATTTCTGCGGTGACTCGGATATGTTCAAGAAAAGTGAAGGGGATCGGTTGAAATCTACGTTTATTCCATCTAAGGGAGGACAAGATCTGTTTCTGGTCACTCTGGACGAAATTGATCACCTGCTGAATGGCGATTCGGGGGTTATGCAGTCACTTTTCGAGTGGTCATTGCAAAGCAAGTCCAAGCTGATGTTGATTGGTATCGCTAATGCCCTTGATTTGACCGACCGATCTCTCCCACAACTAAAGGCGAAGAACCTGAAGCCCCGCTTGCTGCCGTTCTTGCCTTACAGTGCTACGTCTATCGCAAATGTCATGACCAATCGTCTTCGCTCATTGCTCCCTGCTGGTGCCGAAGCCGACCCAAAGCTTGTTCCCTTTGTTCAACCGGCTGCCATTCAACTTTGCTCTAAGAAGGTAGCCTCGCAGACTGGCGATCTACGCAAGGCCTTTGAGTTGATCAAACGGGCAATCGACGTTATTGAACAGGAAACCTTCGAAAAGTTGGAAAAGCAAGCTAAAGAGTCAGAGAATGTTTCGATACTCGGAGAGAACACCAATTTGTCTTCACCTGCCAAAGTTGGCAGTGTTCCGAAGCCAACTTCCATGTCAAGCTACACAGTCATCACGGCACCCCGAGCCAGCATCGCCCACATTGCCCGAATCACATCCGCAGTTTTCGGTCAGGGCACTGTTCAGAGACTTCAAAGTTTGAACCTGCAACAGAAAGCCGCTATCTGCTCCCTGATTGCACTTGAACGCAAACGTCGCCAGCTTGAGGTCCCAAGCACGCCCTCTAAGTCACGCACTTCGGCGCCAACCATCAAGCAAGCATTCGATACATATTGTGCTTTATGTCGCAATGACAACATTCTTCACCCTTTGACTGCCACCGAGTTCAAAGACGTGCTCAGCAACTTGGAAACAATGGGCTTGGTTGGGGAGTATCAGGGTCGCGGCCGGGGCGGAACTGTTGCGGGCGGCACAGATATACGCCGCACGCCCTCCAAATCTGGTCATGCGCCTTCGACTCCCCATAAGGCCCTTGACGAGCAAGGTCTCGTCTGCTTCGTTTCCCAGCAGGAAATCGAGGGCCAGATTGTTGGTCCTGGCGAAGGAATCCTTCGGCGCCTTCTTCGTGGCGAGGGACTATGATACCCTTATTTCTCAGGCGTATCCACACAGCATGGCGAATTTCACTTTTCATTTCCCATTCCCCATTATTGCATCGCGAGACTCCCAAGCGAGGGACTTTTTATCATGTATAACATTTTTGGAGTTTTCATTTTTGGAGTTGGAAATATCCTTGTCTCATCATTTTTAGCGTCTTCCAATCATGGCTCTCCTTGTTGTCAACTTTCCTTTGTCTTTGCTCTAGATTGATGTGAACTCACGAGATCTTGTACACAAAATCAGATAAAAAAACACAAATGACTTGATCGAATCCAAAAAGGTTTTTCTTGTAAACCTAAGTGGGGGCGCTGGATCCAAGTTGGCCAAATATCTTGACCAACGGCCACGGGCTTCAATTCGTATTATTTCCTTTAAAATGGGTACATTCTCATCGGATAGCTTGGTACCGTTGGCTTTAGGATTTAGATACTGTCCTCCCTAGTGTATCCTTAAGAGGTATAATAATCTGAAAGATATCAAACAACATAAAGAGTAGAAATTCTGCAGTGTGGCAGACAAAGGAAGCAAATAATGGAAGGTAACGACAACTCACATGACGACTTCAATATATGAGCCATGTCTAAGCTTGGGTTGTCGTCCACGGGCATTTCCCCAACGTCTGTTATCAGTCCTACTATCAAGCCTTTTGGGGCAACCTTCTAATTGCCAACCATGGCGGCAATTAATTCAAGCAAAGCACGGGTGGAAGCACCTGTTCTCCTAGCCGACAACCAATTCGACGATTCTCAGCTGACTGAGGATCTTACAAAAGACTATGCCGAAGAGAGCAGATCTATTGTACCCTACCTGCTAGAAAAGAGCCCAGAGTACCGAGAACTCAGTGATGTGAGACAACAGGTCAGTCACACTGAACCCAGATATCGTACATAATGCTCACCATGCTCTTAACAGGAATGGGAAACCCCAGAAGGCGATGAATATTTCGCAAACGTTCGTCGAAATGCTGCTAAGTCCGATGAAGAGACCTCGGCCTACTTTCATAAGCTCATGAGCGCAATCGGGCACGAAATTGATAAAGCCACGGATGCCTTCAGAGTTCAACAGGCTGATTCAACTCCACCTACCATTCTGGACATATGCATGGCGCCCGGTGCATTCCTCGAGATAGCATTGAAAAAGAACCCAGGCTCACACGCTCTCTTGCCTGTCTCCTGTGGAGGGTATAGGAGCCGTCTAACAGGTAACTCGAATACCAAGCGAGTATTTCTCGACGTGACTATGCTTGCTGCGGACATGGATGCGGACCAGATCCCCGAGGGTCATGAAGATGCTGAGAACTTCTTGCCCCGACAACTTGCGGAAGGTCGGCTTTTTGATTTGGTCATATGTGATGGGCAGGTCTTGAGGCTGCATTCACGCGCCCTGTATCGAGAGAAACGGGAAGCGACGAGACTAGCCATCACACAGCTTGCTTTGGGTCTCCAGCACCTTAGACCTGGTGGCACTATGATCGTTCTTCTTCACAAGCTAGAAGCGTGGAATACCGTCAATCTTATTTGGATGTTCCATAAAATCTCGTCGGTTCGGCTTTTCAAGCCAAAGACAGCTCACACCAAACGATCGTCTTTTTACCTGATTGCTACGAAGGTTGAAAGCCAAAACCCAGAAGCTATCGAAGCGGTCAAGCGTTGGAAGAGAATCTGGCGGGTTGCCACCTTTTCCTCTGATGAAGAGTACAGCGAGGTGATCTTGGACGAAGACTCGTCTATAGAAACAGTGCTCGAGAACTTCGGTCCAGAACTCGTAAAGTTGGGCAAGGCAATATGGAAGATACAGGCAGATGCGCTGGCTGATGCATCATCCGTGTAGAAGCCTGAGGATCGATCGATAGGGTTTGAAATAGACAATTCATCACCAAAGAATTGATTCAGATTGACTGTTGCTACTAGTTCATTGACTCTGAGCGTAGAGATTATGTAGCTTTGGACTTGTATCAAACAAACAGCCCAGAGGTCCACAACAGTAAATATTAGACCGCAAGCTCACATATCGAGAGAAACATAACATTCAAACCTTCATGCGCAACATCCATGGTTCACCACGCTGGGCCCAGGGGCCTTTTGTTAATTTCCCCCTTCGTGCTTAACCAGTTTCAGGAGTTACGTCGCACTTACCTATTGATATGACAGGAACACGTGCCTCCCAGATCTTCCCATCTCTACCTCTTAGCCTCTTCACCTCTTGACATCTTCACTTCTTCACTTCAACTCGCCAAATCTTCAAATCTTCAATTATTGACTTCTTCATCACTGTTACACTATGCCTGCCTTGGAATACACCCTGATCTTCTACATAACCCTTCTGCTTGGCTTTATTGTTGTTGCCTCGTAGTAAGTGGTGCTTGTTGGCCATCTTATGACGCCGTATTCTTGGATCATGCTGAGACCTCGCATAGCCAATCACCTAGCCTCACACTGCTCGCAATGGGATATGGCAACGACCCTGTTCCTCGCGTGTCCTCAGTCATCGATCAGCAATGCACTGAGCAGATAATTGAGTACGTAATTGACAACGCTGTGCAAATCCTCGACGCACTTTTCTGGCTGTGGATCAGATTTTACATCATCTGGCGAACCATTTCCCTTTTCCTGGATGATATAATTGTCCCAGCCACCATCCTTCTTGCCAAGAAGACCTATGGGTAACGTTATTTGACTTGGGTTCGTTTGATCTCGAACATGCAAAGCTAATTACTAAACTCAGGGCTTTCTGCCGGTATTGGTTTGAAAACAACCTGCCGAAATGAGGCTGAACGAATCTCTAATCATGGAGCATCGCAAACTTTGCCATGTCTATTTATAAATGACGAGCAAATGAGATAGCTGGGGAATAAATACTACGGGATGAGAGTTACCTCTACATTCAACAAGGAATACGCATATTCTCCCTGTTCTGTATAATTCAAGCTATTCCTCTCAAGGACCCGATTCGTGTTTTGTATAAAGTTGCATGATATGCACAGTGTGCATTGTGCATATGTAATATTGGAGATGCAACTGCCCCTACTACATAGTACCCCCATGAATGTGTCAAAGCACAGAGAGCAATGCAACCTTAAAGCATTTCCCCATACCCCCATTCCCTAAAATGGCCTATCACATAACAATGTCCCATTTCCTCGTTACAACCCCCATGCCATCCCCGCAGGATAGACCCCTCAATGCCCCCACGCCTTATCGATAGCCCCACTACCAGGTAACATAAATCTGCCGTTGGGACTCTTTTTTGCTAGCTACCCCTGTCAAAATGGATTATTCTCTGCAGAACCACGCATCCTATATTGGCCGTCCGGTCTCCGAACTTCCTACTCCAGCTCTCATCCTAAGCAAGCCCGTGCTAGAGCGGAACACCCAGATCTTATTAGACGATGTGAAACGGTTGGGGATTAAGTTTCGGCCCCATGTCAAGACTCTCAAGGTACTTTTTCTACCCCAAACTTGAGTTTCAAACAATGTACTAATTGCATTAACCCCGTAGTGTATCGAGGTCACCCGCATGATGCTAGGCGACGTGCACCGTGGGATCGTCGCATCGACGCTATCCGAGATCCGGGGCTGTTTGGATCTTGTCAAGGAAGGCAAACTAGACGAAGTGAGTTACAGTGACTATTTCCCAAAGAGTACCAGCTAAAATCATAAAAGTGTCTCTACGGCCTACCCGTCTCAGCCAGCGCCCTCCCATTTCTCGAGACATTAAGCAAATCCCTAAAGATCATCCTGATGATCGACAGCGAACAGCAGATAGATCTCCTCGAATCCTACGCCTCCAAATCATCTTCGCCCATAGAGCCATGGCCCGTCTTCGTTAAGATAGACGTCGGCTCCCAGCGCGCAGGAATCGTCACTGACTCCCCCTTCCTCCCAAGATTAATCCAGCGCATTGAGTCATCGTCTGTGGCCACTGTATACGGCTTCTACTGCCATGCCGGACACTCATATGCATGTCGCACAGAGGATGCCGCTGCCGCGGTCCTCCAGAGCGAAGTCGAGGGCGTAGTGGAAGCAGCTAAGGTCCTGGTCGACGGGAAATCCGATAGACGGGTTGTGGTGTCGGTGGGATCCACGCCCACAGCACATGTAGTGAAAAGATTGCAGGGTGTATTGCCCGAGGGGATGGAGTTGGAGTTACATGCTGGTATGTTGTGACAACTAAACCCGGCCATCTGAAAGAAACAGCGGAGACTGATATACATGTTAGGAAACTACCCCACCAACGACCTGCAGCAAGTGGCGACCTCACTCGTGGAACCGACGCAGCAGGCGGTGCGTATTCTTGCCGATGTCTGCAGCGTGTATCCTGAGCGCAACGAGGCGCTCGTCAATGCGGGAACTATTGCGCTCTCGAAGGAGACAGGCGACTTCCCCGGGTATGGGGTTGTCGTTGATCGGCCCCAGTGGAGTGTTGTGCGGATGTCGCAGGAGCATGGGATCCTTGGGTGGACGGAGTCTGATCAGACGCGTAGGCTTGTTGAGAAGACGGGGTCGAAATCTGGTGATGGGGAGAAGGTGGAGGCTGCGTTTACGGTTGGGGATAAGGTTTTGCTGTATATTCAGCATGCTTGCATTACAGCTGCTATGCATTATGCTTATTACGTTGTTGATGACGAGGATATTGTTAGGGAGACGTGGGTTCCGTGGAAGGGGTGGTGATTATTGGGGCCGTTAATAGCGTTTCTCTCTTCTGTATATATTGAATAATGTATTATTATTAGAGAATTTGAACAGCAGGTCAAACAATTGCGTGGAAAGGAATGTCTCAGCGCTCAACATTTCGTCACTCTATACTTTTAGGATCCAAGATATCCAAAGTAGTACATATCGCCCAAGTCCAATGGTAAATATCTGATACAGTGGAATAACATTTACTTTGATCGGTACAATTACTGAGACTGAAATCATATCGTGTAGATCATGATCATGAATTGATTAAGTATCAATGAGTAGAGAAAATTTGTCAAAACAAAAAGAGTCAACCCCGAATGGAAATGAGATTTGGATATTTTGTAAACCCAAAACCAGCCCACCCAGAGGTAAGAGAAGACACAAGTAGAAGAAAAAAAAGGATTATTATGCACAGGAGAACATAGGTGAATGGGTATCATGCAAACTTGGCTGGAACAAGACCCGTGCGGAAAATGCGTAGCAGCCGGACTGTTTTTCGTAGCTAATTTCTTTTCCGTCACTGGTATCGTGAGGCCCGTTGAGATAGGACCGAAAGTAATGAGTAAACAGGATCAAATCCAGAAAGGAAAGGCAATAAGAAATTATGATAAAGCGTGAGGCGTTGTGACTGGATAATTTTTTGGTTGATCATGGGAATCGTTAAGTCGTAATGGAGAACGATAATCAAGATAGCTGATTAGAGATGATGATGTTTTTGATATCTTATTGGCGGGAGGAGTCAATCGAAGGGGCGCGAGAAGGAGCGCGCGAGGGAATAGGTGAGGCAGCAGGTGATTGCCCAGTGACGAGATCTTCAGTGGTAAAGCGCGGCAACCGGCCGTGTGTAGAGCCATGAGTAGAGGGGTTGGAGGACATGGTGGAAGAGCGAGTAGAACTACTGTCCAGTCGCAATGAGTCAATGCGCTCCAGGTTGTCATAGTCGGGGAGCGGAGAGCCGTTGTAGTCCTCAATAAAGCTGTGGGCGCCATCCGGCTTGGTATAACTGGGAGGGCTTGCGGGAACATCCTCATAGATTGGAGGCATCTCCTCGTCCCAGCTGATGCCAAGACCGCCACGCTGAGTGACGTGGAGGTGGAACTGCATGCGAAGTACACGCGCGGCACCAGTCGGAGTAATTAGGCGGGTGTTGCCATTGGGGCAGAACTCCTCGGCCACGATAAGCTCGATGACCAGGTTATGCTTGACTTCCAGACCGCCGGGGGCATCCATGTCGCAGACGGCATTGGCTGCCGGGTTGATGTTCGCATCGAACTGCATAGTGATCTCACCACCAGCGGTGTCAAAGTCGGTCTTCCAGCCGTTCTTCTCCTCGTTGTGTCCAATCACGCGGGTCTCCTGGTGCAAAACACCCTTGCCCTCGCCGCCAATCTTGTGAGCGTGCTTCTGGCATGCCGTGGATACAATCTTCTGTTGCTCCTCAATGCGCCACATCATCTTTCGAAGACGCCAGCGGGTTTGGGTCTTTTCACCCTTGTCAACCACACCACTCAGGGTCATCTCGACGGGGAAGTTTCCGATAGGATAAACAACAGAGGGCAGCACAATGCGGCCAGTGAGGTTAGTAGGAGGGAAGATGCGGATAGAGGACTTGTCTGGTCCGGGAAGCAGAGAACGGCTAATGTCTAGAGGCAGCTTGAGGCTATATTCCTCTCCGGTGATGCTCCGCGCATGCGCCAACAGGAAGTATTCGATCTGGCCCAGCACACCATTGCAAGAAGCAGGAAGGTGGCCGGGGAACAGGTAGCTGAATGGGAAGTCATGATCCCCGCTATTGAGGCGAAGGTCCTCAGTGATGAAATTCCACTGGGTCAACTCTTCGGTGCGACTAGCACAATTGGAGCAATGACCTGAGACAGGCTTCTTGGTTGTGGTCTTGTGAACGAGACGTACATCAAACTGGCTCAAGACGACTCCACCAGTGAGCTCCGACACTGCAATGCGCAAGCGTCCAGAAAACAGCGCACCAGTAGAGCTGGCAGGTGGGCCATAGCAAACCAGTGGTGGTGATTCGATCAGAACATCCAGCTTGGCCGCTGGCGGGTGCACTTCATGGCTAGAGCGCTCCTTTGAACGTCCTGCACGTCCTAAGCTGCGGCGCTTCTCTTTGCTATGATCTCGGAGAGGGTGAATCAAGTGATCCATGGAGAAAGATAGACGGCGGTCTGGGGATCGTGCGCGATCTGACTTGTGGTTTGGCTTCTTCGACTGTCCGGGGATCTCATTGACGGATACGGTTGACGAGGAGTTGGAGTGACTTGGAGTTGAGGTGACGGATGAGTGTAGGGAACTCATCAGGTTGGGGATTAGACGGCCCGGCATATTGGCGATGTTTGTAGACGCCCAATTAGATGTGATAGGATTCGTATGTTCAAGAAGCAGTACGGTGATAGAATAATTGAGAAGTAGATGAGGCAATCCAACACATAATATGAGTTCCCTGAAAGTGTATGGGAAGATGATCTACAGAAGAAATTCAGCTTGTGAAGTGCGCAACCCGCCGCTTTTGAATGGCAAGAACAATCATGTGCTAATTCACTAGAACCATGGAAAACTAAAAAGTAGACCAAGGAAAATAGAATTTTCTTTGGAATTTTCTTTTTCTTTTTTCATTTTTTCATTGCTGTTTCCACTTGCCAGGTACCGGCGCATTCAATTAGAAAAAGAAAAAAATGGAAAAAAATTAGAAAGTGGGGCATAGGATAGCGTCATAGTGGGGTCTGACAATACAAATACTGTGTAATGACCAAAAGATACACTGCATTCGTGATCTTAAACCCCCCCAAGGTCCTATTTCAATGGTTCGAAATGTTTGTTTGTTATTCTGAGATCATCCTATTCTTAACCCCGGAAGTCGCAATTCTACCCGTGGACGGCTCATTCGAAACATGGCATCATTTCATCTTTACCCATGTCAGGTGGATCTGAGATCGAAAGAGCCTAAGATTTTATTATTAGATTGTTTATATAGACAATGGATATGTGTATATAGTTCCTTAAAATATATATAAACTACATATACCTCTTGCCCAGCATTTGCCATCGCCTGACTTATATGAATTATACCCCACATTCCAAATGATAGTGTCGGCATCATGCTTCGATCACAAAGGAACCTTCAGTAAAATTCAAGCTAGACCCCATCAGGGCAGTCAAAGGGAGCACATGATGCCACTGTTGGCTCCAGCCTTAGCGTTGAACGACCGTGCGCAATGACTCACGTACGATGATACCGGTTCGGCTAAATCGGTCGGATAGGTGTATATGTAGCTTCTCGGCTTGTACTCCGTATACAAAAATTGAATTGAACTTTGTCTAGCATTTCGGTTTTGCTCATAAGGTTCAAATTACAGCCTTGAAACCTAGGCATATGTATGTTGTATAGGCAATGTGATGCGACCAGTGACCCGATCATCCGTACTTATGTTATAGGGAAGACGGAAGTGCTACCCCGGCTTTAGATTATCAACCTCATAGCCCTACGGGACACACGGAGATGTGCCCGATGAGGTGTCTGTCATTGACAGTATCTCGACCTTAGAAATGCCACGGTGACCTGCAGGTATATCGTATTGGTTTATTATTACGTTTAAACTCATCAAAACTTCTATTCATCTGTTAGTGTTTCTTAATGGACAAATATATACTCCGTACGGAGTACTCTGTATACATACAATTTAGGATCGCGGATCCAAGGTTAGACCTAGTCATCACGTGGCGTGATGGCGTAGAATGACAGTAATGGACCACAAATTCCAGATGCCCAGACCTGTGTAAATGACAAACAATACCATACAAAGCCATTACCATACCGGCCATCATCTCTTCCAACAAGAGGATCTTCGACTAGCGCCAAAAATAAAATCCACCTTTCCGCATTGGGATAACAAAACGCGATGAAAAAGGACCCTTCGCGGAGCTCCACTGTGAAAATTTTTCTTTTTCCTTTTTTTTTTTTCTTGTTGACCGCCTAAATTTTTCAGTCGTCTGATCTATAAAAGTAGACTAATTAAGTGGACTTACTCTTAGAGTACGGAGATGCACTCCCTTCTTGAGGCCACGGGGCTCGCCTATCCTGTCTCTACCCCGCACTAAGAGCCAGACTTTTGCGGGGCACAGGTCTGTTTGAGCGTGAGATCTATGAAACCCCCCTAAAGAAAAAAAAAGCAGAAGTGAAGCATCTCAAATATCAGCATCTAAAGTATGATGTACAATGATCAACATCCAAAACAAAGGTTCTAGCCCTTTCACTGTCAAGATATGCTCCGTGCTCCCAAGGTCGTCCCATAGCGAATCACCATCCCCGCCGCTCACACTAATTACCTAACAACAACAACACCATCAGGAGTTAACCGCTCACAGTCACCTATGAGCATTGGCCTTGCGCGCAGGGTGCCCAGGTACTGGAGCTGCAGCACAGACACATGTTGTGTGCATGCAGGGTGCTTGAAGAATTGCGGCTTATTTGGGCTCGTGCGTCGGGTCAGGACTCCTGACTCGCCCGCTATGGAGCCGTACATAGTAAATGTTTTCCTCGGAGCTCTGTAAGCTGAGGGCATTGATCACGCCATGGCGTGTGTTGTACTCCGTACTCATTACCTATGTCGGGCTTAGAGACACGGATACGGTGATGCCATCCGGGTTTCTTCTTGCAATCCCGGGCACGTCAGCCCTTGCTACATCGGTGATTTAATGATTTGCGCTGTCGAGGTAGATCGATCTGACTAGCTTAGCTACATTGTATATGGCGCAATATTGTCCTAATCTAGGTAATATAGTAATGAAGCTATGGACGCATGAAGTAGGTCCACGCTGTCTCCTTTCTCGTTCTCCCCGGACTTGCTACAAGAGGTATACCAGTGTCGAAGCTAGGAAATTTTATCAACATCCTTAATAAACGGCCCGGAGGTCACGATCGCAAATCAGTGGTTGTCGTCCACCGGTGGCTCGTCGGATGGACTAGCCAATAATTGTTGCTAAATGGGACTTCGGGAAACGTCTCAGGCGAACTTCCTGTTTCGGGGCGATCTCGGCTTGCCCCTCCGATCTCTTTCCGCCTTTTTTTAGCTATTGTTTTTTTCCCATTTAATTCGCCGGCTTTGACTCCTTCGAGAAAGAGTTTATACAAAGTACATGCAGAAATGTGCTCCGCACATCTAGCCATATGCCATAAAATAACGCCATCTCGTCATAAGTCAGTGTATATAGCGTTTTAAGTAGGTACGATGTACGAAAGTCCGTGTAACCCATACGAAATTATTTTCACTTTTCCATTTTGTAAACGATTTCTAAATGGTGCCATTTAAAGCCGCAAAACTAGCCTAATTGAAAATAGAATGGTTACGGAGAATGGCCGTGTCTCCGCTTAAGCGCGGGAAAGCAGAAAATTTCTGTCGGTCATCCACTCGGAACTTTATACTCGGCCCGTTGCAACGTGATCTTTAGCCTCACGGCCCGCCGTAACGTCTCATCCCTGGTTCATCAAGGTAGTTTTTCCTCTCTTGGCTTAGAAGAATACAATTGAATGGAATCGCCTCCACCTTGAATGGGGCCAGAAACCATTGTTTCAACCTTTTTTTTTTCTAGGTTATATGTCGGAGGTCGCCGGTCACTTGGGGTAACAATTAGCTAAATTAGCTTGGCAATGAGACGATCGTTATGAGACCCAGTTCATTACCCGGTTTGATATTGCGGCTTCGATTTGGCTAGCGGTGTGGAAAGAATCAATGGATCCGGGGGCCAGACTCGTCTATCAATATCAAGAAGTACGTGTCGGTTTCATAGTTGGCTGATCAAAGCGACATCATGCGAAGTGTACGTATGCTCGTTTCATACTGTGACTCAAGCATATACTCTAAATAAGATTTTTTATATTGTCATCCCAGGTCTTATCAGATCTTGGCTGAGAGCACAGACAGACAGGGTCGTACATCGAAAGTAAAGCTTAATCTATGTTCTCCCTTATGGCGCGGCGGCCCTAGCTTGTTGGCCTTATAGGGCTTCTGGGGTTGTCAGATACCGCAGGCGTCTCTGAGGAGCGTTTTATATATTCACCTTCTATCAAGTGTTGCATTATTGATCTATGGGAAGTGACACATATCTAGTGAAGAGTTTCTGCAGACCAATTTATCTGGCGGGTTCAAGAATCTTCTCGTCCCTCAACAGACAGCTGCATATGTGGTAGATTCTGATTCATATGCCACGGTATACAAAAGAAAATCATTCAAATGGCAGAATATAACGGTTGAGTTAACTCAATATTTATCCGTCATGCCTATGTAGGTATGAACTACAACTCTATTATCTATCTACACTCGTTGAGAGCTGGGATAGATAGTTTTCACCTTGTGATATCTTTTTAGAGGTCTTTTTAGTGGTCTTTCCAGTAGTCTCTGCTGTGGTCTCAACTTTGCTATTTGCTACACTATCTGCTAGTCCAGGCTTGAGACCTTTGTTTACTTGTTTATTAGATTTATACTATAAATACCCTATTCCTTCATAGATTCCACAATACAGATGTCTCTTTCTTCATTATCTCTCTCACTTACTGCATGCTCAACACAGTGGTCTTCTCGGTGGTCTCACATGTCTTAATTTTATAGTCGAAGGCAAAAAAAAAGGCCGAAAAAGGTTTTGTGGAATGGACTTTCCTAAGTATAACCTTTGTTGTATTATCTATTAAGCCTATTTAGGAAATGGGTACCTGAAGTATGTACTTATATTGTTCACTCCAGGCGTTTCTTCTTAAACCTTTCCTCTCAACTCGTCCATCTGATACTCTCTTTCCATGCATAAAGGTACCACGCCAGTTACAATAGACACGCACAGATGGTCCTCAGTCTCAGACCAAAGCACCCAGAGTTTCCATATCACGACGAGATCAAATTTGACAACGACGGTAGTTTGGTGATTCCACCGTCCGATCGAGTGAACCACCTGGTCTTTCACCTGTGAAATAACAACTTTTTGCACAACCTCTGCCACCTTTTTGCCCTCTTGTTTCCTCATTGGGCGATCGATCATCCGCCATCTTTCAATGATGATCTCCCTCTTCCTTTGGTGCACGAAGACCATGAGGACAGTCTTCACATCGCCCCCGGTCTCGATCAGCCACCATCTAGCATCACAAGCCAGCTTGGCCTTTGATTCCGTGTAGCCTTTTACAATTGCCACAGTGGGCCATTTATCCGTGTGGACTGCGGGGAGGCTGACTGGGCCGTAAGAGGTATCGGGTTTCTTCTTGACCGACCCAGACTCTATCTGGGCTTCTCCGTATAGGAAGATTTTGTCGTGATTATTCATTCGAATAAGCTTTTCGAAAATAAACTTGTCAAGATGCCTGTGTGCAACTTCGTGGGCCTTAGTAGTCATCTTGACCAAGAGTAGTTTCAATGATGGGATGTAGGTGTCCGGCCTTGTTGGTTGTCCGGACTATGCAGTCTGGTACGGTAATGAAGAAGACGTGGCTGTCAGTGTTGTCGTGGTCGAAACCAAGGGCGTTGGAAGTGTATCAACGGGGGTCTCCCAAACGCTTAGATATATGGGTTGCAAACACAGACGTCGGAAGGACCTCCAGAAGATGGATCTCACTGTGTATGGTGTTGTGTATGATGGACAGTGGTGGGTCTTCTTAAAGATAAATAACGTCGTTATTCACAGCTGGGTAACTTTTGCGGCCTTGTGATATCTTTTCAGTGGTCTTTTCAGTGGTCTTTTCAGTGGTCTTTTCAGTGGTCTTTTCAGTGGTCTTTTCAGTGGTCTTTTCAGTGGTCTTTTCAGTGGTCTTTTCAGTGGTCTTTTCAGTGGTCTTTTCAGTGGTCTTTTCGTGGTCTTTTCAGTGGTCTTTTCAGTGGTCTTTTCAGTGGTCTTTTCAGTGGTCTTTTCAGTGGTCTTTTCAGTGGTCTTTTCAGTAGTCTTTTCAGTGGTCTTTTTAGTGGTCTTTTCAGTGGTCTTTTTAGTGGTCTTTTCAGTGGTCTTTTCAGTAGTCTTTTCAGTGGTCTTTTCAGTGGTCTTTTCAGTGGTCTTCTCGGATATCATTCTGGACTTTTCCAAGTATAAGCTTTGACATGTTCTAACTTGACTAGTGGTCAGAGCATATGATTCCTACTTGTCTCGGTGATTGCCAGGAAGCAGTCTGAATATTCTCTGTCCTTCTTTGTTTTTATTCATATTCCCTGCTTTCCTCGGACAAATCGTTTTTTTTTATAAAATCGATTGACTTCTTGAAATTTTATGTGGGAAGTGTTGAAGTATATATCGAGGGATAAAAACATTGATATTAGACCCATGACGTAACTCACCATATTTTATAGGCGCACCACCAGGCTGCCACAGTCACTAGCTATTTTAATGTACCATTTAAGCTACCGGCTAAGAAGGAATTAGGAAAGATGGGAGCTGTTGAAGTATTCTAGAATATTTACGTCTACAGCACGTAGGAAACCGGCACGTGACCTCACCGGCGATGGATCGCCATAGGAATCACTTGAGCTTCCCCTATTCCGGATGGAAGCTCAAGCCACCGTGTTCTTTTTTGGATTGCTCCAAAATCATCATGTGCTTGGCTGTTACTTCACCCCAGAAGTAGTTGACCCCTGCAACAACACAAGTGGGATGATTCACATTTCCCCACTGTTGACTTTGGTCTGATCTGGTCCACTCCATAAACAATTCCGCATTGCACCAGTTTCGGCCCAATTACCACAGCCCCAGCAATATAATCGGCCAGCACCGTATCCCCACCCTAGGTCGATCCTCGATTCTCCTCGGAACACGGAGAAACGGAAGCACAAGGCGCGGAACCCCACGAAATATCCAGACAACCCACGCAAACCCGCGAACCACACCAATTAAACACAATGTCGGCCTCATTCAACTGGACTGCGTTAGCAGTAGCCGTAACCGCAGTTTTCATATTCTGGACCTTCTCCTCAACCTCCTCCTCACCCTTCACACGGTCACTCCCACGCCTCGAAAACAAGCGTATCTGTCTCCTAATCGCACACCCAGATGACGAAGCCATGTTCTTCGCACCATCGGTGCTATCCCTCACCAGGCCCGAGCTCGGCAACCACCTAAAGATCCTCTGTCTCAGCAGCGGCGACGCAGATGGCCTAGGCGAGACACGCAAGCAAGAGCTCCAGAAATCAGCCAAACAGCTCGGGCTTCGCAGCGAATCAGACGTTTTCATAGTCGACGATCCGAAAAGATTCCCCGATGGAATGGACAAGAACTGGGATGAGGGCCTAATCTCGTCCCTGCTGGCCTCGGCTTTCGCTCCGGAAATGGCCGCGCAGAAGAAGCAGCCTGGAAAGCGTGTCGATCCTAACAAGGCTCCTACCGCTACGATCGATATTATAATTACCTTTGACAAACACGGCATCAGTAATCATCCTAATCATCGCTCGCTGTACTACGGCGCTGTGAACTTCATCCGCGCCCTGATGAAGGACAAGGCCGGGTTTACTTGTCCTGTCACGCTGTATACACTGACTACGACGTCCGTGTTCCGCAAGTATGCCGGTGTGCTTGATGCGCCGCTCTCCATGTTCCTTGGTGTATGGAGTAACATCACTGGCGGGTTGCGCTCGAAACAGAAGGATGCCGCGGCCGGTCCTGTACGGCTGCTGTTTGTTAGCTCAATAAATGAGTGGTTGATTGCGCAGTCCGCTATGGTCATTTGTCATAAGAGTCAGATGGTTTGGTTCCGGTGGGGATGGATCACCATTGGGAGATATATGACTGTCAATGACCTCCAGCGGGAGAAAGTCTAAGTGACTGGTCCTTCGCTTGTTCTTATATGCCCAGATGAAGGCCTTCGAATCTCTGCGGCTTTTGCCCAGATCTTGTAACATTATGGCTGATTTGCCCTTTCTTGCGTTGATATCTCACGCTTCATGTCTGCATATGATTTCTCAAGGCACGTACGCCTTCTTGTACACTCATCTCTACAATTCAACTTACAAAGCTCATGTACTCGATGGGCTCCATAATGGACATAATGTCTTTGACTATTGAAAAATACAGAGGGAAAAAAAGACGAAGACTAAAATAGGACTACTGGTGACATTGTAAAAGTGGATATCATGTATGGTGAACATCAAACGCAAATGATTCGAACGATAGAAAAGAGAACGCCCTGCTTATGAACACCAAGGATTACCGTCGTTCCAGAATACAGACTTATGGGGGGTTTGAGTAAGGCCCAGGGCACGAATCCGACCATAAATTCCGACCTCAGGGCTATTCTTCTGCGACAAGGGATGATCATCTGGGTAATCAACCCACGTCTTGAATTTTTCGAGCTTTTCATTCAACTTTGTGCTCAGGTGTATCTGGAAGGTGTAGATGCGATTGAGCGGTGAAATAGACGGGTCCAGCTGAGGGTACTCAGCGAGCAAGAGTTTCCAGAATATCCTATCATCAAGGACCTTGGGCTCAACCGGATGGAACAGATCCGGCCCATCTGGTACCCGCCGAGCATGAACGCGGCCATACTGGCTCATGTACCTAGTATTAGAGGTTGTTTTGCCAAGAAATTCGACTGTTCCACCCTCTTCGGCTGTATATTCGTAGCTATTACGCTCTGGCAGAAAGTCTTTCCATTCTTCCAGTAACTTGGGCCGTTCTTGGAACTCCCAGGCTTCCAGCGATACGTCGTTCCACTTCTTTGCGATGATCATTGAATAAGCTATGCGCTGCAATTGATAAGTCTGCTGGTAGAGTTCCAGTCGGAGGAGATCGTATGTGTTGATGGCTTCGGCGAGTAGGGGGCAGTGGAATAGTGACATGTCTGGCTTCACGTCATTTTGTCGTTGGTCATCGACTGAAATCGGCTCCCCATGATCGTTCGCTGGCGGTCTCATGCTGTCCAAGATTGGCTGTAGACATTTCATGACGGTGTCTCTCGCTTCCCTTCTTCTGATCCTTGTTTGGCTCAAAATATCATATGCTTCACGCATGTCTCTTTTGCAAGCCTCTAGATCGCCGTCTAGTTTGTTGGTTTGGGTTGTGAATCGGTACATTTGCACAGTTGCAGGAACATTGTATTCCGTCCTTAATATGTGGAACACTTCACGGACCATGTCTCTCGGGACTTGGCCTTTTCGCCCATCTTGTGCCTGTCTCCGCTTGTGTTGTTTGGAGAGAGTGAACGTCCTTTCTAGCAACTCAGACCAGACCCTTGCCGAAATGGTGATGTCGTACGAGGAAGCTATGTAGTCAACTGTTCTCATGGCGGCGTGCATGTCGTTATTTGTACCAAAGACATGTGCCACGGCGAAAAGAAGATTCTCATTTGGGTACAGGCCAGACCAGGTTTCATAAGGTGTAATTGGTGGCAGCATCGAGTTATCCTTGGTCATGATGGCATCAACATCGACATTCCATACAGCCTTGAGGGTATTCTTGGCAGCTTTCGCGTCGCCAACTCGGGCAGCTGCGAGGAGGATATTGATGTATGTCTGCACATCGCCGCTAAGTCCGCTCTGGCTCATTTGACTGAATATATCCAGCACAGATCCCTTAGTACTATAAGCCGCGGTTCCGTAGCCACGATGTCCAGGAGTCGCATCTGGCATGCGCCGCTTTTTGTAACTGTAAGGGACGATGCGAGTATTGTATTTTTCTTTTCCCACGTAGCAGTGGTCCCAGACCAATCCTGACATATAGTGGTTATAGCACGCTGCGTCAGGAGTGACACCGTTGGAATACATTCCAGCCCAAAGCGCCTGGACTAAGGGGCCATTCCCCATAGCCTGGGCGCAGTCAAGGAGGTGGGTGTACTCGGCTAGCTGAGGTAGATGTCCGGCTTCGGATCGATATTGAATGATCGTCAGCAAATCCTCTGTAAACTTGTCGAACGTCGCTTCCAAGGTTTTGACCCCGTCCATCAACACACCCCACCCATGTAGTGTATGGTGAAGCTCCCGGTAGGGTACCACAAAATGAGCTGGAGAGAGTAGGTGCAGGGCTTCGATGAATACGGTCGGTGGTAGCGATCCAACTAGCTCTACCGACCGTGGATCGGCCATGGCTTCTAGCACTTGGTTGGGTTGTCTGTTTTCAAGGACTCGGAAGAAGTACGCCCTGTACTGCGCCTCCTCTGCGGGAGAGGTCCATTTTGGCAGAGGCACGTGGTTCTCATTATTGAGACTCGCAGGACGTGGAACAGCGAGGTCGCTGCTCCATCGTTGACTAGTTGTAGTCAATTGCCGTATGGAATTGCGATAGAAAGTTTGTGGAATTCTTTGCGCTGAAAAATCCCATGTCTTCGTATTTGGAGAAATTGCGACACAATGTATTCTTGGGCGACTCAGATGACAATGTGGGGTGAATCTGGGTTTAATGCCGTCTCTAGACCGAGAGGAGACAACTAAGCGAGAAGCGAACTTCTCAGCGAATGAAGTCTGCCGCATTGTAAGGTGTAGCAAGAAATAGTTTTAGGAATTAGGAGAAAACAAAGAGTACAGAAATCCCCAGGGGCCCAAATGAGGGGAAGCTGTGCGCTTCGACCCCGGGTCTTTTGGCAGGGTACTTCATGCAGGTTGTGCTTCATAGTAGAGTAAGCGCATGAATCCCTCCACAAATGATTAGGCGAGACTATAATATTTAATTTTATGGCTATAATACATGGATTGTGGTTGATGACCATATAAATTAGACGTGTAGATATTCCACACTATTTAACTCCACCATCTTATAGATCTCATGTGGATACTTTGGGAAAAGAAACCCGGGGTAAAATGCTGACTCATCCGACCTCTTGGCAGGTTACACGCTAAACCATATTGGGTATCAGCCAAAGCTCGTTGATTCTGCGTGTGTGTGGACCTACACTTAACCTAATCCAATCGCCATTTCATCATGGCCGACAATGAAGATACTGGCGGTCCATCCGTCTCCGAGCCCTTGGATCTTGTTCGTCTCTCCCTTGATGAGACCGTGTTCGTGAAGCTGCGTGGTGATCGCGAGCTCAAGGGCCGCCTTCATGTGAGCTACCCCCCCTCCAGCAGCCTTTAGGGTAACTACTGACTATGATATGTGTCTATAGGCATACGATAGCCACTGCAACCTAGTCCTTGGCGATGTGGAGGAGACAATTTACGTGGTAGAAGAGGATGAGAATGAAGAGGAGACTTTGCGGGTATGAAATCCTGTGAAATTTGGGAAATTCACACTGGCGCAGTCTAATCTAGGTTCTCCGATACAGACAATCAAGAAACAAGAAGAGATGCTTTTCGTCCGAGGTGAGTCGGAGCAATTATGGGATATCTTGAGTGGGTTGTTGATTCCTATCTAGGAGACTCCGTGGTCTTGATCTCCCCCCAGGCATGAACGGGCTTGATATGTCATTGATAGAAAGGCGTCCGGCGACGGGAACAACACTAGGAAGGACACAATATACCACAAAATGCTGTCAACATAGATAGGCAACGATACCATGAAAATTGGTTTATGATCATGCACACTAGTCATGTTGGATGTAGCCTCCAGAGCTGAGTAGGCTATGCAATTGTTAGTCATAGTTTTCTTTATAGTAGATTTATATCGAGTCACTGGCATGTGGTTGACATAGCCGACTGCCCAGGTGGTCTGGTCGATGACTCAACTGGTGACTCCAACTTATCGATAAAGCTTCCCCATTTCCCCCTTTGCTTTTTTGACATACCTATTCAAATATTTACTTTAATATCCTTTCATCTTTTGTTCATCTGGGTAAAAGAAAACTATGATCACTCGAATACAACTTCACATCCGCCAACAATAACGGCGATCCGATCCACCGACCAATAACGTCACTTACCCCAAAAAAGCGGCACAGCGATCAGTCGACACAGTTGAACTTACCAACTCCACACAATGCCAATAGCCGGGAAACTGAGCCATGAGGAGCGAAGACGAGGTGAAGTAGTATGTGTATCTAGGGAAATGCAATAAGTTCCCCATCTTACATGACTTTCAACTTAGGCCCTTAGTGAATTCGCCGAGTATGCCGACAAACAGCAAGCCCACCGCTCCGGCCAAGTCGCACCTAGCGACAGCGGATATTCCACCGCTAGTGTATCGCGCGATCTTGAGGACCATGCAGAGCTTGACATCCTTGATCAGCTAGGGCTGTCCGATGCCCCCCAAACAGCCAAGCTTAAGGAGCTCCTTCTTGGTACAGGCGATGCCGTCGAAGACAACCTGCAAGTGCTAGCTGGGATATTGCAAATACGCATTGATGAAGGACACGGGGAAACCATCTTTGATATCGGGTTGGAGGATGGTGGTGAATCCATGGGCTTCGACCTCGATCAATGGAAGACGGCATTGCAGCGCTTGCGCGAAGCAGCCGAGACTATCCCCGCCCACTGCCGAGTATTGCTGACATATAACGTCGGAGGCCCTGAAGAATCGCCTGTTACCAATGACCGCGTACAGGGTGCTTGGGGCAAGGTCCTTGTGCGCCACCACGCTGATAACATCGAGGAGATGGCGGAGCTCCGGATTGCCGTGGTGGGGAATGTTGATGCCGGAAAGAGCACTATTCTAGGAGTGCTGGTTAAAGGCGGCCTTGACGATGGACGTGGTCGCGCGCGAGTAAATCTGTTCCGCCATAAGCACGAGATTGAAAGTGGACGTACCAGCTCCGTCGGGTTGGAGATAATGGGCTTCGACAGCCGAGGTGAAATAGTTGGCAATTCGCAGGGCCGAAAGCTCTCCTGGGAAGACATCGGCAGGCGCTCTGCTAAGGTCATCTCCTTCTCCGACCTGGCAGGCCACGAGCGTTATCTGCGCACCACTGTATTCGGTATGCTGAGCAGCAGCCCCAATTACTGTTTGCTGATGGTCGCTGCCAACAATGGTCTTATCGGAATGAGCAAGGAACATTTGGGTATTGCTTTAGCTCTCAATGTGCCTGTCATGGTCATCGTCACGAAGATTGACATCTGCCCACCCCATGTTCTGCAGGAGACATTGTCCCAGCTGACCAAAATTCTCAAATCGCCTGGGGCGCGCAAAATTCCAATATTCGTCAAGGATATGGAAGAGACCATTAACACTGCCACACAATTCGTCAGCCAGCGGATTTGTCCTATTTTCCAAGTGTCCAATGTCACAGGAGAGAACCTCGACCTAGTACGGACCTTCCTGAACATTTTGCCCCACCGCGGTCACTATGATGCCGAGGGCGCCTTCGAGTTCTTGATCAACGACACTTTCTCTGTTCCTCATGTCGGTACAGTTGTCTCGGGTGTAGTCAAGTCCGGTGTCATTCATGCCGGAGACACGGTCATAGTGGGACCAGACTCGCTCGGCCAGTTCACCACCACAGTCATCAAATCCATTGAGCGCAAGCGTATCCAGGTGAATGCTTGCTTTGCTGGCCAGTCTGGATCTTTCGCCCTGAAGCGCATCCGCCGGAAGGAAGTGCGCAAGGGTATGGTAGTGTTGAAGAAGCTCGAGGAGGCTCCAAAGGTGTACCGGGAATTCGTCGCGGAGGGTAAGTTGGCTATTCAGGCTCTGTTGGTCACATACTAATGAGAAATAGTCCTGATTCTTTCTCATGCAACCACTATCAAGCCTAAATACCAGGCTATGCTTCATGTCGGCGCAGTCAGTCAGACATGTTCGGTTATTGACATCGACCGCCCTTTCATTCGTACTGGAGATCGAGCGTTAGTTGCGTTTAGATTCGTCCAACGTCCTGAATTCTTAGCCCCTGGGGACCGTGTCCTCTTCCGTGAGGGCAAGACGAAAGGTCTGGGAATTGTTAAAAGCATCGGTTATGACCCAACGAAACCTTTGAACCCAAATGCAAAGGAGGGAGCTTCTACCCCTACATCACAGATACCTCATGATTAGATTTATTTTTATTTTTGTTTTTACTTGTCTAACCGAGTTTCTTTGTTCTTTGTCCCTCTTAAGTTTGATATTTTTCTTTCTAAGCGTTAGACATTAGATATGTCCTTGTGTTTTTCTTTTAAGCCGGATTGTGTTTACGCATAGCATGTTAATATAATAGTCAATTGGCTATGGGCTGATCATATTGGGTCTATTGATACCTTTGCATCTATTGCTATATACGACTATAGTATGAGGTCACATGATATATATCATATCTATGAATATGACGTCACTCTATGACATAGGGATCGCCGCTCTCTCGACAATGCAATCTATCAAGTGGAATATCATTCGCACTTGAGAAATCAGTGGAATCAAATGGGGTACGATGGAGGGATCGCTGTTCAAGCCCCAAATCCACTGACGTATTGACCACGACCTCAACCTTGGGTTCTTAAAGCTTGACCTGCCAGCTTATAAGAACCCAATCCACTCGCCACTTAGCAAAACAACACTTTAGTATTATCCTCTTTTATTATACCCCATCTACCATACTATCATCCTCTGTACCAGAAACAACTTCTATCCATACATATCAACCAAACTACAATACAACCATGGAGACTGTCAACAAATACGTCACCGCTGCTTCGACTGTTTTTTGGGGCGAGAACGACTCCCCTCAGTCCCAGCAGCATGGCGAAGAGCCCATGTCCGGTGTGCAAGGCAAAGGACGTGCCACAGATCCCTATGATGGTGGCAACCGTGATGGTAAGTAATGACTTGCGCATATAAGTTTCAAAATACATGTGTTCAATATATCTAACGCTCACCCGCAGAACAACCCGGCGCAATCAAATCAGATGTCAATACTGCACCTCTCGAGCCCGTCTTAGCCAACAAGCATTCAAAGCCCCGAGAAACCGAGGTCACTAGCATCACCACTCCCCACGCACCTACTTCTCTCACCGCTTGCACCAGCGTCACCCCCGCTCTACCTGTCACCGGTGACTCTACAGAACCCAGTGGAAGCACAGAAAGCAAGCCTATCTCCAGTGGCTCCACAGAAACTAGTGAAATCAAAGACAATACCATCTCCAAACAAGAACAGCGCAGTACCTCGCAGGCTGAATATGGCGAGAGCAGCGAAGCTCCCCGCCCAGCGCATCCTCAGGACGTAAGCAAAGAAGCGCTCCAAGGCCCGCAGGGTCCTGCGCCGAAATCTGCTGAGGACTTTGAGAATGAAGCTAAGAGGAAGAGGTCTGTGGTTAAGGATAATGAGAAGAGTATGTTTCCCCTTCCCTGCGCATCCTTGGTGGTATTAGTTTTGGTGCTGACTTTATGTAATAGGTTCTTCAGGTGAATCAAACAATAATGGGAAGAGCAACGAGTCGCCTTCTAGCAGCAACAAGTCTGAGCATTCTTCTCATAATAGCGAGAAGTCTGGCAAGCACGGTACTATCTCGAAGGTCAAGGAGAGTGTTATGAAGCACCTTCATCATTCAAGCAAGTAAAGGTATTGGGGTTGGATACGATCTGGAAACGGTTATGCTTGTCACAACGCCTCTGATATCTTGACTTAGGGCTACTTTTTGATATTCTATCATGTGTTTTATTTCTGATTTCAAGTGTATTAATATCCATTTGTGCTTCAATTATTCAAATTATTCAGACTATTCAGACTCTTGTAAATATTAGTATAAAAACGCAACAAAATTAATCAGATTTCTATGGCCATAAATAGCAATACGTATCACTCCCAGTATACCCAGAAAAGGAAACGATAAAAGCTTCACTTCCCTTTTCTCCGAATCTTCGGTGACAGAATCGGCTGCTTATACTTTTCAATGGTCTTTTCGATGGTCTTCTCAGATATCATTCTGTTTACATCAGCTTTACAGGTCGAAAAATGCTTAGTGAAATAACCTTTTATATGTACTGATTTTGCTATTTTTGGCACCGGAGGTGAACCATATTGATTATATAGGGTCAGTTTAGTACCTCTACGGTATGAAAGGAGTTCTTCTCTTCTTTCCTCATCCTATCTGCTCTTGTCCTCCCAGCACTTCTGCTTTGTCCTTTTGACACTCGTGGATTTCTTCCATAGACTTTGACTCAGCATCTCCTCCTTTCTATCGTTCTCTTGAAGTCTATCAATTATGGCTGATCTAGCTCCTGTTCTCCGGCCTTTGGGCTACCCTTTACACCCTTTGTCGCCCCGAAAGCGGCGTCGTTACCTTCGTGACTCCGAAGGCGAGTTGACTCTAGAGCAGTACAGGTCAGCGTCACCATTCCTCTACCACTACCACTACCGGTGAAGATGGAGACTGTTACAACCTGCCCCTGGACTGGCGAGTTACACACTAGGCCAAAAAGACCACTATATCTGAGCATTATGCTCATATATTCCAGGCTCCGATATATATAGTGCATGACGTGACAGAGACCGTGCCTGCCCTAGAACAGGAAATCAGCCCGCTTTACCCACAGATCCTAGCTATCGTTCGTCAGCACGGTCTGAATGTCACATTAATATTCCAATGTGGGAAGATGGGCAAACCGAATTATCCTCGCGGTGATGTCCCGGTGAACTTCTTCTCTGTCTATCTCACCCACTCCAACCCTAACATTCCTCCTCTCGATCCCATCAAAGACGAAATTGTGGGACTGTTTCCGCCAGTATAAGATTAATGCACATGTTCAAATCATAAGCAGCGACTACTGCCATCGCCCCTCCGTGTTCTTCACCCCCTCGACCCATCCTCTTGTGGTGGCATACGAACGAACCAAAGGCAATATTGTCAAGCTTCTCAACCAGAAAATCGGCAGCAAGTGGCGGTTGCTTTGCCCCTTTAATGTTGGTTCAATGAAGTCTAAGCCGCAGCCCATGATCGTGGTACTTGTCGAGCCATGGATACGCGCAAATTGGTTCTAACTGCGAAATCAGATTATATATCAGCTCTCACCTCACGTGGAAACGGATGACTTTGATATCGAATCTTTACTAGATGGCCTATCACTTTCGACTAGTGGCGGAGCAGACTTCGTGGACCGACTCACTCTAAATGCTATTCCTCGAATGGGCTACTTGATCGGCATTCGAGGAGATAAGAATGCAGGAACATTGGGCGGATTTGTTACATTGACCCACGATGGAATTGTTCGCCGAGGCTTCCTCACGGGTTACTATGCAGTCAGACCTTCAGAATCTAGGAATAATGGGCAGTTCCTAAAAATCCTCGATCATTTTAGGTCATCTCCCGCTCAGCCTCTAAAGCAGCTAATTGTAATTGAATGTCTAGCCTGCATAGACAGAGACGTTACGCTTGCTAACCTCGACTCCATCTTGAATAACATACGCGAGCAGCACTCTGAAGTTACTGCCAGAATGCAGGAACGTGAATTGATTGGAGAAACTCCGCACCCCCGATTCCTGGAATGGATGGCAAATTACGACTCCTATATGGAGAAAACTTTGCCTCAACGAGCAGCAATCGAGAGAATGCCACACGTCTTAGGAGGGGTGAAGTTCGTGTCGGGAAAGCAACTTCGTGGCGGACGAGTGCTAGATTGGGCTTTCGTTGAACTCTCCGAATATGCCGAGCAGCAATGTTTCAGGCCAAACCGCCTGTTCGCAATTACTCCTCACTTTTTACCAAGCTGGCTCATACCTCCCCAGCCTGTCATGTTCGCCCAGGAGCACAGTGTTCTGGGTGGATTCGGCTCACTTAGTGGAGGTGATTATTGCATGAAAAATGGCCGTACCACTGGTGTTACCAGGCATCTGCAACGGGCCAAAGGCATACTGCAAGTGGGAAACCAGCAGATACGACTCTAGTGGGAAGCCGGTGGACATGGCTACTGAGCCAACTGAGGAGTTTATCATTGTGACCCAGGAAGCTATGGACCATTCTAAGCGAGCCTTTTGTGGGGACGGAGATTCAGGCTCATTTGTTCTCAACAGGTTTGGGGATGTAACTGGGTTGCTCTGGGGAGGAGTGAGGTATCAAGACCTTGGTGTTGGGCTGGCCTCGAGCATGTCAGATGTCCTGGAGTCGATCAGAGAGGAGGTCGGAGGTCCTGTCTCTATAAAGCTTCCGCAATGAGCTTCTGTCCCTTAGCGTAGTAGCTAGAATACATTTTGACCTAGCTCACAGACGCTTTTTCATAGTTTACTTATAACGAACTCTATACAACCCTTCAAGTATAGGGTTCAAGTATATTAAGAATCGCTAGCCACTTATACGTCCTTCAGTGGTCTTTTCAGTGGTCTTTTCGGTAGTCTTTTTAGAGCTCTTCTTACAAGATATTTGCACTTCCTTCTTAGTTATCCAAGCAGGTAGTCAAAAACAGCGGAATATAGAGACCTAGTGTAACATTAACATTAGTGTTTAGACGTATAAAATGCGCATACTGAAAGGTTTACTATAGGATAGAGACTGTGGTATGCCCAGCGCAGTTTGACTTAGTGAGCAAGGCCCAAGCAATAAAATAGAACGTGAAAACCATTGCCAGAAGATATCATGCATTTTGACATTTACAAGCCGGAGCAGGGTATCCCAATTGTAACCAAAAATAACCAAAAAACCATCTAAATCACTCGAACAACATCTTCAACTCTTCTAGTCTCTCTTTCCCCTTATCCGAATCACCATCATCGCCACCAATCTTCAATCCCAGCGAGCCAGCAATGTTCATTTTACGCTCCTGCACGCGCAACATGCGACCTTCTATAGAATCCTTGACCACGAAACGTGTCACATTGACATCGCGTGTCTGGCCCATCCGATGAACGCGATCTATAGCCTGCGCTTCGATTGCGAAACTCCACCATGGATCCATCACGAAGACATTGCTTGCGGTTGTCAGGTTTAGGCCTACACCGCCGGCACGTAGGGAAATGAGCAGAACTGTAGGGGCTGGGGTTGAAGGCGAGGGAGGGCTAGTCTTTGCAGGCCCGCTTCTCCCTGGGGTATCATCTTCCATGTCGACGATGTCATCGTCGGTAAAGCTCTCCGCTTTTGTAAACTCAGCTAGAACGGCCGCACGGGCCTTCTGGGGCATTGAGCCATCTAGGCGGAGATATGAGATTCCGACTCGGGCGAGCTGTGGACCGATCAGGTCTAGGAAAGAGGTAAATTGGGAGAAGACAACGGATTTTGTATTTGCAGGGACGCGTCCGAGGTGATTAATAAGGGCCTGGATTTTGGCTGAAGTGTGGGCGGATGGAGAGAGGGGGTATATGCGACGGAGGGAGATTCGTGGGGCAGGCTGAGAGCTGGTTGGCGGAGTGCTGCTCACAGTGTCGTCTGTGAAAGAAATTGAATTCGAGGACACATGTCGTACTACTTCGAAGGTATTCTTTGGGTCTACCGGAGCACGGCAGTTGAAGCACCGTGCCTCGACGCCCTTGTTCATTTGGTGTTGCAAGAAGTCTTCGAGGCATTTCTTACATGCACTATGCCAGCAGGCAGTTACTGCTGGATCGATCATAGGCTCTTCACAACAGATAGGGCACTCGCCACTGGACTCGGTTTGGATCTGTCGGAGAGCATGGGCAGTGAACTTAACCATGGTCCCGGGGGTATCTTGGGACTCGGCATTCGCTTTTTCTGTCGTAAATTGGTTGATCAAATCTTGAAGATCCATATCGTCCTGAAACTCATTGAGCGCATTAGCTGCTACCGCCGCGCTCTCTTCTTCTGCAACGATGTCTTTGTTGCGTGTCATTATAGGGTGGCAGCAGGTCTGACGAAGTCGGAGAATTTGAGCAAAGATTGTGCTATAAGACTTCAACAGTGTGCCAGCTACGACATTGTCGTTGTAAGTTCGTTTTGCCCGGGTAAATATCAAGTCGTAGATTTCTCGTTCTTTTTCTGGTAGCTCCACTTCCTCAATAGTGATTGTCTTTTTAGGCAAAGGGACCAATGGCTCGCCCTCTGGAGTTTTCATCGATTTAGTCCGCCGAAGAACAAGAGGTTCCAGTACACTTTGCACGACGTTCAGTGCGCGCACATATTCTTTGGATTCAAAGGGCACAGTGATGAACGTCTTCCAGAAGGAGAAATTGCTCCATGGCTCAACCTTTAGGAAACGCACCAGACTGAAGAGATCCTCAAGCCGATTGACAATAGGCGTTCCAGTCAGTGCCCACCGATGGGCTGCTTTCAACTCGTAGCACGCTTTAGCAGACTTAGACCTGCGGTTCTTGATCACATGAGCCTCATCAAGGATTACTCGGAAGAATTCCACAGAGAATAGACCTCCACTTGTATTAGGTCCCAGAGCAGACTGGAGAGCATGCTGGCGGAATTCCGACAATACCACACCATAACTGGTGACAATCACCTGTGGGGCTGTTGCATACCTGGATTCGCAGCATAACTCTCTTAGGTTGACAGCCTTGTCCGACCCATAATAAACAAGAACCCTTAACGTCCCGGCTTTGAGTGCCTCGCTTTCCCATTGAGAGATTAACGATGTCGGTGCAACGACTAGAGTGGTATACGGCGCAGGCACCACTCCGGAAGAGCTCGGCATCCTAGTAAGATCGTTGACTGAGCTGAGGTCATTCGAAGCCTGTGCATCAGGCTCGACTCTGTGTGAATGTACCAGACTGAGCATCTCAATAGTTTTTCCCAGACCCATTTCATCGGCCAGGATCCCACCCCGGCAGTGTTGCTCTTGAGCAGGAAAGTCAACAGTGAGGTCTCCCGAATATGGATTGACGTAGAAATGGTCAATATTTTCAACCGGTGGTAAATCCTTGTCATCGACATCCTTTCTGGGCCAAGTGTACTCCTCCCAGAGTGGATGCATTGACTTCTCCCGGATTTGCTTCGAGTCTTTCTCTTTTGACAGCATCCAATGAAGAGCTTGCTGCTGGTACTTGCGCAGATCAAGTGTGAAGCTAGGTGGTGGATCTGCCGCTGGCATGTTGAAATCAAATGATTGAGCTTTTCGATATAGTGTATCAAGCTGATCTTCTTCCAGTTCTTCGCTGTCGTCCTCGCCTGATGAGTCGTTGGGATCCTTGTTTGATTTAGATTTGTCTTTCTCCTTTTTCGTGCTGTCATACTGCTCTGCAATTTCAGCGGCACGTAGAATGCCATTTCTTTTGTGCTTTTCTGTAGTTGGGTTGGTCGAGGTAGGATGAAGATTGATTTCGTCAAATAATTTTACTAGACCGACTTGGCGGAGGCGCAGGTTCTTCTCCTCGGTGCTTTCTTTCTCTTCAAACAGTCCAGTGGACCTGTTGTCATTAATGTTCAAAGCAGCGAGTGCCCCGCTTTGGAAGGCTTCCTTTCGCAAGTAGACTCGGAGTTGTAGATATATGGTATCGTTGACTCGCACCCTGTCAGGTACGAACACACAGACACCTTCGAACCGACAGATCTTCTGATCAATCAGTGGAGAAACCCATTCAGCGGTCTCATGTGGCAGCCTTCCGATTTCTTGCCCAGAAGCGTTCGTGAACCGAGTCAGAATATCACTTTTGTGGTTCACAAATGCTTTGCCTCCTCGGCCACGTTTCAGGGTTGGCTGTGACCTTGCGCGTTCAATGATGACGGGGTCTCCATGCTTGAGGAATCCGAAGCCACTTCTCGTTGCCCACCCACCTACACCAAATGCGCCAACATACCTGGCCGATGGTTGATGTCGCAGTACCGACTCACTTTCAACTGGCGTTCCACGGCTAGGCTGTACCTGAAGAGCGGAATTCCCGCTTCTGGCCTGCACACTGGCATTTATCCGCACAGGCTTCTTCCATGATCCATCAAAGTATATGTTCACAGCCCGCTCGATATTATTGGAAGCAGCTGATTGAATTGTTCTGATTGAATCGGCTGGTAGTTGCTCTCCCACTATACTGGTGAAAAGGTCCACATCGAAGCCATCTGGGATTGTGCTTGCTGTGTTGGTATTGATGGCCGCTTCCTCCTCGATTTGTTGGTCTACCCCATTCTGACGTGGAGAGGGAGTGAACGCAGGTTTCCCAAGAAGTGCGCTCGTGCTTGCTGACTTTCGAGGCTGTGTATGCTGCTGATCTGTTTCGTTTTCCAAGCTAGGAGAGCTGTCCGGGATACGGTCGAGTGACGGAATGTCGAGTGCGCCATCCGTGTGATATTCGTGTTCTGGGCAAGGCAGAGACGCGTCTTTATTGGGTAAAGGCGAGGATGCATCGGTGAAGAAACGCTGCCTCTTTGCTGGGCGTTCTACATCCTTGCTCATATTGACTGTACCGAGCTTGATGGGAAAAAGTTGGGGAGAACGGGAAGACGCGCCGAGAAACGCGAAGTCAGGTGGATCGGCAAATGTAAATTGGATTTTGACTGCCTTTTTCAAGACGTTCTGTTGAACATATTATAGGAGACGAAGAAGTAAGAAAATGTATTGAATAAACTAGAAACTGGATATTTTTGTTAAACAGCAAAATAAACTGGCAAACAAAGATCTCAGTCTGAACTAGCAAACAGCCTAGCAAACGACTGATATTCCAACATATTTGAATTCTAATCCAACTGTTTTCGAGCGTTTGTTTCCTAGATAATTAACTATATTTTACTATATTTTGCTATAATTTATTATAATTTTATAATTTCCTTAGTTTGCAGAAGAGGCTCCAGGGCTGTCTAGCCACCGCTGACAAAGACTGGCCAATGCCTTCGCCCGGATTACATCGTTTTCCCCAGAACCTCCAGGGCTGTCAAATTCATATTGAACATGTCTTTTCTCGGGATAGCCCGGCCATGCCAGGCAAGTAGGGCCTATCGTTTTCACCTACGAAGCTTCCAATCCCAAAAACGACACTTCAGCCGGACACAGTCCATTGCCGCACCTATCACCGCAGAAGAAGTCCAAGGCGCTCACAAATACTGCGTCGCTCTCCTCTCGTATGATAACACCGTCCCTGTGGTCTCTAATGCCAATTGAAGCTCCGGCAATGGAAATAAGTCCGAAAGCTAATCTATCCCTCCCACAATTAGAAAATATGACCGCCCCTCCTACACCCTGAGCACCTTCATCCCACGACATGCGCAATCCTTCTACATTGCGCTGCGCGCATTAAACGTTTCCCTCTCAATGATCCCCGACACAACCTCCTCCCCCACAATTGGATTGATGCGGCTCCAATTCTGGCGCGACTCTGTAACGAAGATTCTTGCCGGCACACCACCAAAAGAACCCGTCGCTATCTTGCTTGCGTCCGCCATCTCCGAACTCCACGAGCGCACGCAGGGCCGCGCGCGCATAAGCAAGGGCTGGCTGACCCGTATAATTAATGCGCGGGAGCAAACCCTAACAAACGACCCGTACCCAAATATCGCCGCGCTCGAGTCCTACGCGGAGAATACATACTCCACCCTCATGTATCTCACTCTGTCGGCATTGCCCATGGCTTCGGTAACTGCAGATCATGTTGCATCTCACATTGGAAAGGCAGTGGGAATTTCGGCCGTGTTGCGTGGACTGCCGTTTGTTGCGTTCCCTGCGCCGGCTGCTCAAGCACCTGCTGGCGGGGCTGCGGGTTCCGCGATGGGAGGTGGTGCGAAGCAGGGGGCCGTGATGTTGCCTCTGGATGTTATGGCAGAGACTGGTGTTAGGGAAGAGGATGTCCTCCGGTATGGAGCACAAGCTGAGGGTCTCCGGGATGCGGTTTTTACTGTTGCGACACGGGCAAGTGATCATTTGATTACGGCGCAGCAGATGTTGAGCAATCTCCAAGCTGGAGAGGATGTCGGTCATGAATTTGAGCATGAGGGCGAAGAGGGCCATGAATATGATTCCCCTGGTGCTCGGAGCAACGAGTCACCTCTCGATGAGGTCAACCGGGCATTTGGTGTTTTCCTGCCTGCGGTCAGTACTCGTCTGTGGTTGGATCGTCTTCAGAAGCAAGACTTCGATGTTTTCAGTCCGGAGTTGCTCCGGTCAGAATGGAGACTTCCATGGAAGGCTTACTCGGCCTATCGACGGAAGTCTCTAGATTGATGGGCTGTAGGCCGTGTATGATATGTCTAAAATATTTCAGGATTAAGACTGTCGGTGACTTCTTTGTACATTAGAATATAAAATTACTTGTCACGCAAAGTTGAACAATGGACTATGGCTGGCTACACTGGTCCCTGGAATCATTCTATCAACAAATAAGATTGAAATAGTGTTCAAGTGAAAGCTATTTATACAAGACCTGTTTAGGTCTGCGAGCAAGGAAATGTATACAAACAATAAAAAACTCCCGGACCAGTACGCAGCAACATTTTGGGGCAGCAATAATAACAGAAGCAGCAGGATGTTCGGGATTTATTTCTTTTTCCTCTGCCGTCTCTGCTTCCTTGAGCTAACAATCAAACGTCGTTGAGCAAGCATGACAGCGTATCGCTGGAGTTTGTCGCGCCTAAAGAAAAAGGTTAGTGTCGGTTGTTTTTGGCGGGAATATCAGAACTTACATCAGGAAGAAAATCGTAGCACAAACGAACGGCACTGCGATCTTCCAGAAATATCTACTCAAGTCAGCAATAGTCCGGAAAAAGGAAAAGGGTCGAAAGATATACCCTTCATTGTTTTCGATTGATGAGAAATGTGTGAAGTTCATTCCGAAATAACCCTAAAACTGTTAGTGGGATTTTCTTGATAGATTCAAGCCATACATACTGTCAAGAATGTCATAGGAAGATAAAGACAAGTTACAAGAGTAAGCTGCTTCATACTTTCGTTTTGGTAGGCACCTGCGTAGTATGTTAGTCTTGGTATCGCCATGACTTGCTAAAAAAACGTACCAATAGTATTGAAGATGAGGTCAATCATGTTATCAGCATTACGCCGCATCTGATCGTACCCTTCCACGATGGTGATGCAGTGATCTAGCGCATCGCCCAAATATGTATGGCACATAGAGCTGATCGTGACACTTGTGCCTCCAACACTCTTCAGGTTTGGCGTTACAATCCCGACATGTGGGCGGGGATCGACAGGTTCCGCAGGAGTCACACTTGGACTAAGGGTATTCCGCAAGACACCAAAGCCCGGTGTGCCGACGGGCTCAGACCGGTGATCACGGAGAGCATTAATCACAGCCACCATAGGCTGCATGGAGTTCCGCAGAACAGCAATCTCAGATGTCAATATGTATAAAGACTTTGACTGTTCAATGTCCGGATCAGTCAGGACCTCCAACTCGAGGTCTCCGATGGCGTCTTGATATGCCATCGTGACAGGAATCGCAAGATCAATCACGGCATCAAGAATGGCCTGCAAAAGCATGCTAGCATCGCATGACTGTCGAAGGATAGTCTCAGGCGAAGTGAGCCGTCTGACAATTGGCGCCTCGATATCATCTGCGCTTGTTTCAAAAAAAGACGTCACCGTATTATCAGCGTGTAGGAAGATCGAAACTTGCTCCAAAGTGACGCATAGTCCTTTGGCGGAAAGTGCTGCATGACGCTCCATGAACTCAATTCGATCTTCATTTGGACCGCCGCGATATCGCTGGAGACTCCTAGCAGTTGTTTCTGTGGCGGTCCCAACATTTCCAAAATGGGAGTTCTGGTTTGACGCTTGTCCAAGGCCAGGACGTACGCTCGACCCATACGTTGCCTTATCCTTGCGCTCCTGACGGCCGGTGGATCTGATTCGGAAAATGTCCTTCAATGCCGCCATAATAACATTCCACTTTGTGGGTCTCTTCAATGAAATCGAGCTCTTGTCACTGACCACCGAGCTTTTCCGGTCCCTTGACTTCCATCGACTCGCCGGAGTTTCCTCCTCATCTTCCGAATCAGAAGAGTCCTCTTCTTGTATCTTCATCAACTTTTGCAATGTCAGTACGACGAAGGCATGGTCCGAGTACCAATCCGCTTTCGTCCGATTAGTGGTATGGACAACATCCTCAATTGCAAGCCGATGCAATCTCTTATGATTTCCGAGGATCTGAATCACATCCCAGCTCAATCCATTGACATTGATCCACCGACATTGCACCCAGGGCTCTTTCTCCCGCTCCAAAAATTGCTCCAATGTGTCATTGTCTAGCTCATACTGTTGCATGTCATGTTCTGAGAAATCCACCACCGTGATCTGGCAGCGTCGGTGTAGGTCCGCAGGTATGTTGGACGCCCATTCTGAGGTGTATGGTGGTAGCGGCTTGGTTGGATCAATGCCAGGTTCTGTTCCTGGCTGCCAATTGGGGTCTTGTGCGAAACCTTCGGGATGATATGAGCGGGCAGTATTGCGTCTAGCTCGGCGTTTTGTCGTCTCGGTAGAGTTCACTCGTGCTGCTGAGGTGAACGCGGGAAACGAAGACCCCTCTCTTTCTTTTCCTGTTGGAGAGACTTGAGAGCCGACTGACGGGCGACCGGCCTCAACGTCGACCTCTGATCGTGTCGCACCGGGCTGCGCATAATCAAGCGAGTGTACGCTCATCTTCACGGTTCATATAGATGCGCACATCCAATCGCATCGGTAGAATGATGAGTTTTCATCGGCTCCGAACTTCAATGCGCTGCGCCTCAATTTTAACCCCGGGTCGAGGGAATATTTCGACCAATGACTGGTGAAGATATAGCCAGTATATTTGAATAATCGATGCACCACTCATCGAGAGACAGTCTCAGGGGAGAACATGTCGGACTTGCGTGGGGGATATGACGTCGTCAAAAGGCGTTTTCTGCCGCGCAGAGATAATTGAGACGAAACCCGTCTCAGAGGGAAAGACTGTAACACCAAACAATAACTAGAAAAACTGAAAACACACGAGAAATATGAAAATGAAGAAAAAAGAGAAAAGAAGAAACAAGGGGAAAAAAAAAAAAAAAAAACAGGAGGGACAGGGGTTCCCCAACAGGGGGTGGAGTACCCAGTAGTTTATCTTATTTAAGGGAGAGACACGGGTAACAGAGTACAGCCAAGTACTTTACTTCATTTACTTCATACACACATGTAGGATATTTAGTACTCAATTCATTGATTCATACAAACACATATACACACGGTGTTCATTCCATCTCACCATATAGTAGCGCCCCAATGCTTCCAATCACTCCAGATATAACACAATAGTCAAACAAGATGGTGGAGCAATAATTACAGCAGAGGATAGACCTGTGACATCGACGCTGAAAATGACAGCATTTGCCAGAAATGGCTGCTTTTCCACTAACTTTGGCCAGCGACCGTTTTACCGCCCTCTATTCTGCACTTCCGAGGTTAACCAGCGCTGTTAGTCATCGTCCTCGTCCAGGGCTGTTGGTGACGTTTGACTTCAACGTTTCTCCCTCCGTTTCCACTGGCAACCAAAACGTTGCCGAAAATGGCTCCCCTCTGTACCTGATCAATGACAGTGGTCGGGCTTGGCACAAAATTGGCTGTGTTTCTCACAGCGTCAAAACTCAGCTATCAAGTCCGCCTCACGGAGACCCACGGGTTGATGATACAGTGTCTTCTTCAAGTTCGTGGTCAACCTGTTTGCTAGCCGAGTGTTTGTCGAGCTAAGAAAGCTCTGTCAGCAGAGTACACCGTGAGAAGAGGATATCTCATACCTTATAGACGAGCCAAACATAGGCAAACATAACAACACAACAGACAATTAGTACTATGGAGCCCTTTTTCCAATACGGAGTATCAGCGGCAGAGTAAAATAAAATACCCCAAAAGGTCCACAGCACCATGGAGCCAATGTTCATTGCGAAAAGGGTTACACTGCGCACAGCATCATCCCCACTCCGCTGCAAGATGACATTTGCCCAGCCAAAAATAAGTGGGTTGACCATATATGCGGTGCCAGAGAGATAAAAAGCAAAGAAGGTACCCGCGAAAGACAAGTTCGGTACGAGAAGCATGCTACCAACGACAATTGATAGAACGCAGGCCAAGACCGCCATTGGGACTCGCTGCCCAGTAACGTCCATATGCCAAGCTGCGGCCATATTAGCCACGATTCCTACAGCTTGAACCCCGAGAGGATAGGTATTGATATTGGTTTGGGTGAAATGGTTCTTGTAATACTTCAGCCAGAGCAGGAAGTTATTCTGGAAGGGAAAGGCCTCGATGGTTGCACAGACGGGTGACCAGAAGAACAATATCCAACTTCATTGATAAGTCAGCATGAATTAATTCCAAAAACGGCATGACTTACAAGGTTTTGGTTAAAATGACGCGCTTAAACAGTGACAACGGCATGATGTTATGACCGTCCTTCTTGATACGAGGGACTCTTGTGATAGCAAGCCGCTTCTCATCTGCAGTGAGATATTTTGCCTTGGTAGTTTCGGGAATGTCGGGAAAGTAGAGAAACCCAAATATAGCAATCGGCAAGGTGATGATACCATCTGCGGTCCTCCGTCAGCGGATTATCCTCCCATATCCAAAATCAGATAACCAGATAGACCCTACCGATGAGGAAAACCCATTGCCAGCCTTCGACGTTGGCCATGCCAGCCATACTTTTATGAATGGCAGCCATCATGATGCCAGCAAACATTGTACCAACCTGACCAGATGCCGTGAAGAGTGCAGTGCGCTTTGCAATCTCGTCAGATTTATACCACGCTCCAATGATGTACATTGTCCCTGGGTAGGTGCTGCCCTCAGTTAGTCCTAAGAAAAATCTGATAACGCAGAGCTGCGTTACGGTCTTCACTGCTGCACTGGCCATCTATAATATGCTGTTAGAAACGGCCACCGAAGGTGATCATCAAGCTTACTGTTAAGCCAGCCCAAATGACAACCATCAAGGGGAACCAAATGCGTGGCGGCACTCGTTGAATAATAATCCCGTGCGGCAGCTGCCCAACAGCCATTCTACAAACACAAAGTCAGAGTTAGTAATAGAACTTGGATCATTAGGAGTCGCAATTAACCATACCCCGCAACAGTGACGGAGAGAACGGTGTTGTAGTCATGACCACTCATATTGAGAGACTCCCGAAGCCCGGCAACCTGCATGGGGAATTTTTCATTAGCTACCCACGACTCACGCAGTGTTGGCGTTCTTC